TTAAATATTCAATTTTTTTTTCTAAATAAATTAGTAATTTTCAAGCATGTACATGTTTTTTTTTCTATTAACAAAAAAAAGTATGTGTTTGAAAATTACAAATTTATTTAGGAAAAATAAATTTAATATTTATTTCAGGTACTTATATAGCGCTGTCAATTTACGCAGCGCTTTACATATATATTGTACATTCACATCAGTCCCTAACCCTCAAGGGCGTACAATCTAAAGTCCCTAACTCACATTCATACATACACATATTAGGGACAATTTAGACAGGAGCCAATTAACCTTCCAGCATGTCTTTGGAGTGTGGGAGAAAACCCACGCAGGCACAGGGAGAACATGCAAACTCCAGGCAGGTGGTGCTGGGGTTGGGATTTGAACCAACGACCCGAGTACTGCCAGGTGGAAGTGCTAACCATTTAGCCTAGCCACTGTGATATTTAATATCTTATACTGATTTTGTCCTAACCCACTTCCTTTTTCATTAGTGGAACGTACTGTATGTGAATTTAGAATTATTATTTTTTTTTAGGTTTGTTAAGCCTAGAGGCCAAAGCTACAGATTTGGTTGTTTCACAATCATTTGTATACAGTTATACAAAAGAGGTCATTTAAAAAGTATCAATTTTATTTTTGTTAGATCTATTTTATCAATCAACTGTTAAATATTTGTAATCTTATTAATTTATACCAAGATTACATTTACAGTTACAGTAACTTTTATGGTGAATAATGCAACAGTTGTCATCAGTCTTAATTGGATTTTTTTTGGTCTATATTACAATCAGCCAACTGTTAAATTTTTTGCAATCTTCGTAAATAACACTAAGATTTAAAAAGTATACTTTTTTTGGTGTATTTTACAAATCAGCTAACTGTTAATTATTTGTTATCTTATTAATTTACACATAGATTACATTTACAGTTACAATAACTTTTATGGCAAATAATGCAACAGTTGTCATCAGTTTTGCATTAAAAAAGATGATTTAAAAAGTATTAATTAACAGCTGATTGGTAAAAGAGACTCCAAAAAATTAATACTTTTTAAATCACCTTTTTTTTAATGAAATACTGATGACAACTGTTGCATTATTTGCTGAAAAAGTTATTGTAACTGTAAATGTAATCTAGGTGTAAATTAATAAAAATGACAAATAAATAACAGTTAGCTGATTTGTAAAATAGACCAAAAAGTTTTATACTTTTTAAATCACCTTTTTTAATGAAAAATTGGTGACAACTGTTGCATTATTTGCTGAAAAAGTTATTGTAACTGTAAATGTAATCTAGGTGTAAATTAATAAAATGACAAATAAATAACAGCTGATTTGTAAAACAGACCAAAAAATTGTAACTTTTTAAATCACCTTTTTTAATGAAAAATTGGTGACAACAGTTGCAATTAACAACGTTATTGTAACTGTAAATTTGTAGGAAAATTAATAAAATGACAAATAAAAAGCTGATTTGTAAAATAGACTGTTATACTGTTTAAATCACCTTTTTTAATGACAAATTGGTGACAACTGTTGCATTATTTGCTGAAAACGTTATTGTAACTGTAAATGTAATCTAGGTGTAAATTAATAAAATGACAAATAAATAACAGTTAGCTGATTTGTAAAACAGACCAAAAAATTGTATACTTTTTAAATCACCTTTTTTAATGACAAATTGGTGACAACTGTTGAATTATTTGCTGAAAACGTTATTGTAACTATAAATGTAATCTAGGTGTAAATTAATAAAATGACAAATAAATAACAGCTGATTTGTAAAATAGACCAAAAATTTTATACTTTTTAAATCACCTTTTTTAAATGAAAAATTGGTGACAACTGTTGCATTATTTGCTGAAAAAGTTATTGTAACTGTAAATTTAATCTAGGTGTAAATTAATAAAATGACAAATAAATAACAGTTAGCTAATTTGTAAAATAGACCAAAAAATGTTATACTGTTTTAAATCACCTTTTTTAATGACAAAATTTGGTGACAACTGTTGCATTATTTGCTGAAAACGTTATTGTAACTATAAATGTAATCTAGGAGTAAATTAATAAAATGACAAATAAATAACAGCTGATTTGTAAAATAGACCAAAAATTTTATACTTTTTAAATCACCTTTTTTAATGAAAAATTGGTGACAACTGTTGCATTATTTGCTGAAAACGTTATTGTAACTGTAAATGTAATCTAGGTGTAAATTAATAAAATGACAAATAAATAACAGTTAGCTGATTTGTAAAACAGACCAAAAAATGTTTATACTTTTTAAATCACCTTTTTTAATGAAAAATTGGTGACAACTGTTGCATTATTCACCATAAAAGTTATTGTAACTGTAAATGTAAACTTGGTGCACAATTAATAAGATTACAAATAACTAACAGCTGAGATCAGTTCACTAGAATCCTAAACTCACAAGTCGGAAATGTATTGAAAAAAAATTAACACGTATGTAACTTTTAAGCCAAACCTTTACTTGGGGACATACTTTCGCAGCAACTACAAAAAAAAAATATGTGGTAAAGACTGTAAAAGATATATGTATATGTAAATTTAAAATAAAAAAATAAATGTTAGCACTTTAAATGCACAGTCAAATTTTAATAAACTGTAAAATGATATTACAGTAATTTTTAAAAAATTGTGTTCCTTTCCATGTAAATTATGCTTTGAATTTAGCTTGGTATGAATATATGTTCAAAATAGAAGCATTTCTTGTTCAAAAATATTCTTTTTTTTTTTTTTTTTTTTTTTTTTTGTTTAAGGTGTATGTTACATCTGCAGTTATATTTGTTGCTTTGTAGTAATAGTTCAAAAGTTGAGTAAACCTAATATATTAAGGGGGGGGGGGGGGAATCTGTAAAAAGGCACTTCAGATTAAAAAGGTTGGATTAGACACACAAGATGCTTACGGAGGTGCTTGAAAGGTGATCAAAATTTTGGTAAAATGATCAAATCTTTGTTGGCTTGAGAGTCTGATTCCATTGGAGGTTTCTCAGTCACCTTTTTTGACTGACTCCATTGAAAAAATTAATACTGCTTTGATGCTTTAGTTTTCACATTTAGACATAGTAAAATAAATAGTAAAAAAAAAAAAAAAATGCCTACACAAAAAAATTACATCTAATTACTTACATGTCAAAGATCATGTTTCCCTACCAAGGAAAATATAGACTATAAAACATCTATTACCCAAATACTTTCAAACATTCTTGATTTTAGATGATACGTTGAGGTGCTAAAAAAAAAAAGCAACTATAAATTCCCCCCAAAATTCTGGACATCGTAGGGTACGATTTTTGCTTGTAAACAGCAAGACTTCAACGCACAGACTTACCAAAACACATACAAAATGATGCATTTACAGTTCATGTTTTAATGGCTCAGAGTGATATATGGCACAATTCATGTCACAGCCTCTTCTTTTTCCAAAAAAAGAAAAAAAAAAAAAAAAAAAAAGGTTCTGTGATTTCAAATAATGATATGAGCTATACACATTCTGCATTGTTTATACACATTCTGCATTGTTTTACACATTCTGCATTTTTATAGGCCTTACCTTTGTTCTTTCATTCCAAAAATATCTAACATTTTACATTCTGTAAAACAAAGGCGTGGCCTGTAGCGCACCAGATAATTGTTTATGACACTATTTTGTATTATGTGCATATGTATGCTTTTCGTTAAAATATAATAAAAAATATCTGTAAGCGTAGTATCATTTTCCAGTTTTTCACATATATTTTATATATATATTTTTATTTTTTTTTTTTGCTTAATTTTTCTTTTCTGAAAATACCAATTTATTTTGGTATATTTTTTTTTAAGTAATTGACATCATATAAGTGTGAGATAAGAAAATATTTTAGAGGTTGTAGCAGTGGATGCAAGGCCATTTTTTTTTTTTTGACTGTCACAAAATATTAAAAGCTATATTTTTATACTTTTAAACTCATTAAAAAATAAAAGCAGAAAATGTTAGTTTTGCTATTACACGTTGAGGTCTCTTGCAGTGTCTGTGAAATTACCATATTCCTTGTTACAGCTCACAACGTTATCAAAATATTAGTGTACAGGTATCTATATTTTGCGTAGAATCTGCAATTTGCTTTTGTTTTGTTTTTTGCTTTTGTTTTTTTTTTTTTTGCAGACATACCCTGCATGTATCACCAAACACAGTGCAATCTATATACAAACTTCATTTCACATTTTTTTTTGATTTTACAAGCACAAAAAAAAAGTATATATATACTCTAGATCTATATATATAATATTAAATGAAAAAAAAAAAAATCTACTTCAAGTTGCCACAATATTGTAAACTACTATGACTTATTTGTACACACTATTTTAATATACTATAAGAATTACAGTTCAAGTGCTCCAAATAATTTTTTCGGAGGACATTCAAGAAAACTAGTGAAAATGTAACCTCCATTGACCGGTAGTGAGTGATATTTTTTTTTCTCAAAACTAAAAAAACACATTGTGAACAACCATAATTGTAAAAAAAAAAAATTCCAAAATTTACAATTTTTTTGCCAGGGGTAGGGTGAGGGTTAGCATCTGGCCTGAAAACACGGCTTCAAGTTCACTCGTTTTAATAAATGTGCCCCCGTTTTTTTTTTTTTTCCCCCAGATACATAAAAATGTCAACGAAAAAAATAGGCATATGCTACAAATATAACAATACTTCAAAGGCTGATTTGTACTGTGGACTTTGCATTTTAAAAAAGTGTATGGATAATATGTAAATGAAGTTCTATTGCTAGCCACCAATCACATGACTCCATGAACGTGATCAATGTGATCCTTCGACTTTTTCTTTTTTGGAAACCTTGTGAGGTTTACAATCCAGCATTACATGTTGTTTCTCCCCAACCCAATGTTTCCCTTAAAAAAAAAAAAAACTGAAAAAGTAGGATGCAAAAATGAACTATTAAGGGAAAATGTAAAAAAAAAAGTGCCTTTTGACTGTTCTCAGGCAGTTTGGGAACTCATGTCGCCAGGTTCTCCGCATTTTATGCTGGACATCCGGATCTGGGAGCTGCTCTTGCTCAGAATGGACAATTGTGTCCCCCCATTGACTCCGCTGCTCGCCAGGGATGGGTGACGGTGCTTGAAATCCACAGCAAAGTACCGGTTGACTTTCCAACTCCGCCATTTTCTCTTTATTTCTGATTGCACCTTTAGGGAGAAACTTTAAAAGGTCATTTTTTTTATGTACTTTGTTGTTATGGAAAAGGATGGAAGACATGCAATACTATCAGTCTATTGTATCTGTTTATCTATCTGTCTGTCTATCTATCTATCTATCTATCTATCTATCTATCTATCTATCTATTATCTATCTATCTATCTATCTATCTATCTATCTATCTATCTATCTATTATCTATCTATCTATCTATCTATCTATTATCTATCTATTATCTATCTATCTATCTATCTATCTATCTCTATAAATCTATCTGTCTATCTATCTATCTATCTATCTATCTATCTATCTATCTATCTATCTATCTATCTATCTATCTATCTATCCATCTATAATTATCTATCTATCTATCTATCTATCTATCTATCTATAATATCTATCTATCCATATCTATCTATCTATCTATCTATCTATCTATCTATCTATCTATCCATATCTATCTATCTATCTATCTATCTATCTATCTATCTATCTATCTATCTATCTATCCATTTATCTATCTATATCTATCTATCTATCTATCTATCTATCTATCTATCTATCTATTATCTATTATCTATCTATCTATCTATCTATCTATCTATCTATCTATCTATCTATCTACAGTTGTGCTCAAAAGTTTGCATCCCCTTGCAAAATTGGTGACATTTTGGCATTGATATTGAAAATATGACTGATCATGCCATAAAATGCTCTTTTATTGAAGGATGATGATCATATGAAGCCATTTATTATCACATAGTTGTTTGGCTCCTTTTTAAATCATAATGATAACAGAAATCCCCCAAATGGCCGAGATCATAAGTCTCCGCCCCCTGGATCAGAAGTCTCCGCCCCCTGGAATGTTTGGCCTTGGTACAGATACACAAGGTGACACACACAGGATACAATGCCAATTAGAGGTTATTGTCCCACATCTGTGGCTTTTTAAATTGCATTTAGTGTCAGTGTATAAATAGTCAATGAGTTTGTTAGCTCTTACATGGAAGCGCTGACTAGGCTAGATACTGAGCCATTGAGATCAGAAAAGAACTGTCAAAAGTCCTGCGTAACAAGGTAATGGAACTTTATAAAGATGGAAAAGGACATAAAAAGATGTCCAAAGCCTTGAATATGCCAATCAGTACTGTTAAATCACCTATTGAGAAGTGGAAAGTTCAGGGATCTCTTGATACCAAGCCAAGGTCAGGTAGACCAAGAAAGATTGCAGTCACAACTGACAGAAGAATTGTCCGGTTTTCAAAGAAAAAAACCCACAGTCAACCTCAAAAGAAAAACAGGCTGCTCTGGAAAAAGATGGTGTGGTTGTTTTTAAGGAGTACAATACAGTGATACTTGTACAAAAATGAGCTGTTTGGTGGAGGTGCCACAAAGAAGCCTTTACTGCACCAATGCCACAAAAAAAGCCCGGTTACAATATGCCTGACAAGACCATGACATGCCTAACCGGGCCTTCTTGTGTCATTGATGCAGTGTAATCATATTGTGCTCCTGCAAAACAACCACACTGTCTTTTTCCAGAGCAGTCTGTATTTTTCTTATGGTTACCTATGGGTTTCCTTTGTATCCCAAACAATTCTTCTGTCAGTTATGGCTGCAATCTTTCTTGGTCTACCTGACCTTGGCTTGGTATCAAGAGATCCCCGAACTTTCCACTTCTTAATAGGTGATTGACCAGTACTGATTGGCATATTCAAGGCTTTGGACATCTTTTTATGTCCTTGTCCATCTTTATAAAGTTCCATTACCTTGTTATGCAGGACTTTTGACAGTTCTTTTCTGCTCCCCATGGCTCAGTATCTAGCCTAGTCAGTGCACCTACATGAGAGCTAACAAACTCATTGACTATTTATACACTGACACTAAATTGCAATTTAAAAAGCCACAGATGTGGGACATTAACCTCTAATTGGCATTTTAACCCATGTGTGTCACCTTGTGTGTCTGTACCAAGGCCAAACATTCCAGGGGCGGAGACTTCTGATCCAGGGGGGCGGAGACTTCTGATCCGGGCCATTTGGGTGATTTCTGTTATCGTTATGATTTAAAAAGGAGCCAAACAACAGAACAAACAGAAATACTGCTACAGGGCGACACGGGTGCACAAAATCACGTATATATACACATGATTTTGCAGTTTCGGTTAGGGGGCCATTCGCAGCCTTGGCTGTCAATCACCGGGTCCCAGCCGTTGATTACTCACCGGCACCTGGTGATCGCCAAGTATCTCAGACACGGGAGAGACTTGTATATAAATAATACAGATCTCTCCCCTGTCAGCTCCTGCACACTGCTTTGTATGGCTCTGCATAGCAATGTGCTTAGAGTGAAACACTCACACAGCTCCCTTATTGAAACAGCACACAGTTAACCCTTTGATCGCCCCAGATGTTAACCCCTTTCTGCCCAGTGCCAGTAGTACAGTGTCAATGCTTTTTTTTTTTTAGCACTGATCACTGTATTGGTGTCACTAGGGATGTCAGTGACACCAAGTCAGTTCCCCCCAGTGTCAGAATGCCTGCTGCAGTCCCACAGTCCTGCTATAAGTTGGTGATCGCCGCCATTACTAGTAAAGAAAAAAAAAATTCCAGTATACATATACGGCCATTTGTAGACTCTAGAAATATCACGTAAACCGATTAATTTACGCTTATTGGGATTATTTGTTAGCAAAGACACGGAGCAGAATACATTTTGGCCTAAATTTATGATGCAATTTGATTTTTAAAATTTTTTTACTGGACATGTTTAATGGCAAAAAGTCAATATAGTTTTTTTTCTCAAAATTGTCTTTTTTTTGTTTATAGCGCAAAAAATAAAAACTGCACAGGTGATCAAATACCACCCAAAGAAAGCTCTATTCGTGGGAAAAAAGGACATAAATTTAATTTGGGTGCCTGACCACGCAATTGTCAGTTAAAATAACGCAGCGACGCGTCGCAAAAAAATGGCCTGGTCAGGAAGGGGGGGAAATCCTCTGGAGGGCGAGGGGTTAAAGTGGTTGTAAAGGCTCAAGGTTTTATACCATCATGCATTCTATGCATGGATGTAAAAAAACCTTCTGTGTGCAGCAGTGCCCCCCAGCCCCCGTCTATCACTTACCTGAGCCCCATCCCAATCCAGCGATGTCCATGAAAGCCTCGGTTCTCCAGGGACTGTGACTCCTGATTGGCCCTTTGGCTCCTGCTGCTGTTAGTCACAGCCAGTGAGTCAATCAGGAGAGGAAGGGGCAGGGTCAAGCCGCTGCTCCGACACACGGAACAGCAGGTGCCCCCATAGCAAGGTGCTTGCTGTGGGGGCACCCAACAGGAGGGAGGGGCCAGAAGTTGTATATATTCCACTTCACAGACAGGGTCAGGGCATCCCCCAACCATGTTATTTAAAGCATTTTTGCATTTTTATTGTTTCATTTTAGGCATTTTTAAAATAGCCACTTCTTGCCAAACTGAATATTGAAAAAAATTCTTTACTTTGTTTCATGGTCCTCCCCCCAAAAAATGCAATTTGTGTGACAAGCCCTGGCCTATTAGCCTAAAAAATAGCCAATATTTTATTTTTTTTTAACATTTGCCTACCATCTATTTCAATGAAGTTTGGATTTAGCCCCCGAAATTTAGTAACGTTCACCAAATCTGCCCTGAACTGGGAATGTTTAGCTCATTATTATTACTATACAGGATTTATATGGCGCCAACAGTTTGCTCAGCGCTTTACAATATAATGGGAGACAATACAGCAACAATACAGTTCAATACAAGAGGGTTAGGAAGGCCTGATCCTTGGAGAGTTTTCAAATGGGATCATATGGAGTTTGAATTAAAGACAGAAAGTCTGAAGGTAGTCACCCTCTACTAGAAAGTCTGAAGGTAGTCACCCTCTACTAGAAAGTCTGAAGTTAGTCACCCTCTACTAGAAAGTCTGAAGGTAGTCACCCTCTACTAGAAAGTCTGAAGGTAGTCACCCTCTACTAGAAAGTCTGAAGGTAGTCACCCTCTACTAGAAAGTCTGAAGTTAGTCACCCTCTACTAGAAAGTCTGAAGGTAGTCACCCTCTACTAGAAAGTCTGAAGGTAGTCACCCTCTACTAGAAAGTCTGAAGGTAGTCACCCTCTACTAGAAAGTCTGAAGGTAGTCACCCTCTACTAGAAAGTCTGAAGTTAGTCACCCTCTACTAGAAAGTCTGAAGGTAGTCACCCTCTACTAGAAAGTCTGAAGGTAGTCACCCTCTACTAGAAAGTCTGAAGGTAGTCACCCTCTACTAAAAAGTCTGAAGGTAGTCACCCTCTACTAAAAAAGTCTGAAGGTAGTCACCCTCTACTAGAAAGTCTGAAGGTAGTCACCCTCTACTAGAAAAGTCTGAAGGTAGTCACCCTACTATGCTCCTGTTTTAAAAAATTCCTTGATGTGAATCTCATGTCATAGGGGCACCCTCTATTAAATATTTAATTGTAAAATAAATATTTTAATTATTATTGAACAAAAAATTATAAAATATCAATTAAATACACATCTAAATTAAAAAAAAAAAAAAACCTGACCAAAACGTATCATTGTGATACAATAAGCATATGTATAACAGTAAAAAAAATATATATATATAATTCATATAACTTTAAACATGAATTTGTGGTAATGGGATTTTAGCTTTGAATGAGAAAAGTGAAGTAAACTTTATCTTACCTCGCCATTCAGGAAACAGTAGAGGATTGCAACAACAAAACCCTTGAAACAGAGATTAAAAAATTGTAAATGTGTGTTTGCATTTCACTGTTTATTAACATAATCACTTGTTAGCTTGAGTGAAGAGGGATGAGCAGCACAGTGGTTAAATGGTTAGCAGTACTAGTGTCATTGGTTCAAATCCCGGCCACAGCACCACCTGCCTGGAGTTTACAGGTTCTCCCTGTGCCTGTGTGAGTTTCCTCCGGGTACTCAGGTTTCCTCCTACAGTCCAAAGACATGCTGGTAGGTGAATTGGCTCCTGTCTAAATTGTCCCTAGTATGTGTATGTATGAATGTGAGTTAGGGACCTTAGATTGTACGCTCCTTGAGGGTTAGGGACTGATGTGAATGTACAATATATATGTAAAGTGCTGCGTAAATTGATGGCGCTATATAAGTACCTGAAATAAATAAATAATACAGTGGATGTAAAAAGTCTACACACCCCTGTAAAAATGTCAGGTTTCTGTGATGTAAAAAAATAAGACAAAGTTAAATCATTTTTCCACCTTTAATGTGACTTATAAACTGTACAACTCAATTTAAAAACTAACTGGAATCTTTTAGGGGGAAGTAAACAAAAAACTAAAATAATGCGGTTGCATAAGTGTGAACACCCTCTTACAGTGGGGATCGAAAGTTTGGGCACCCCAGCTAACAATTTGTATTAATGTGCATAAAGAAGCCAAGGAAAGATGGAAAAAATCTCCAAAAGGCATCAAATTACAGATTAGACATTCTTATAATATGTCAACAAAAGTTAGATTTTATTTCCATCATTTACACTTTCAAAATAACAGAAAACTAAAAAATGGCGTCTGCAAAAGTTTGGGCACCCTGCAGATTTTTTTAGCATGCACTGCCCCCTTTGCCAAGCTGAGACCTGCCAGTGTCATGGATTGTTCTCAATCATCGTCTGGGAAGACCAGGTGATGTCAATCTCAAAGGTTTTAAATGCCCAGACTCATCTGACCTTGCCCCAACAATCAGCACCATGGGTTCTTCTAAGCAGTTGTCTAGAAAACTGAAACTGAAAATAGTTGACGCTCACAAAGCTAGAGAAGGCTATAAGAAGATAGCAAAGCGTTTTCAGATGTCAATATCCTCTGTTCGGAATGTAATTAAAGAAATGGCAGTCATCAGGAACAGTGGAAGTTAAAGTAAGATCTGGAAGACCAAGAAAAAATCAGACAGAACAGCTCGCAGGATTGTGAGAAAAAACAATTCAAAACCCCACGTTTTGACTGCACGATCCCTCCAGAAAGATCTGGCAGACACTGGAGTTGTGGTACACTATTCCACTATAAAGAGATACTTGTACAAATATGGTCTTCATGGAAGAGTCATCAGAAGAAAACCTCTTCTACGTCCTCACCACAAAAATCAATCGTTTGAACTTTGCAAATGAACATATAGACAAGCCTGATGCATTTTGGAAACAAGTTCTGTGGACCGATGAGGTTAAAATTGAAACTTTTTGGCCGGAATGAGCAAAGGTACGTTTGGAGAAGAAGGGGCACAGAATTTAATGAAAAGAAACCTCTGTCCAACTGTTAAGCATGGGGTTGGATCAATCATGCTTTGGGGTTGTGTTGCAGCCAGTGGCACAGGGAACATCTCACGAGTAGAAGAAAAAATGGATTCAATAAAATTTTCAGCAAATTTTGGATGGTAACTTGATGCCATCTGTGAAAAAGCTGAAGTTAAAGAGAGGATGGCTTCTACAAATGATAATGATCCTAAAACACACCTCGAAATCCACGGGGGGATTACATCAAGAGGCGTAAACTGAAGGTTTTGCCATGGCCTTCACAATCTCCTGACCTCAACATAATTGAAAAATAGACCTTAACCTCCCTGGCGGTATTCCCGAGTGTAGCTCGGGGTAACATTTCAGTACCAAAAGCGGTAACCCCGAGCTACACTCGGAATACCATAACGGCGCTGCTCCGGCATGTGTTCTTCACTTACCTTACCCCTGCGCTCCCACGATGTGTCCCCTGCAGCGTCCCCGGCCATCTCCTCCGGCCGATGCCGGCATCCGGCTTCTGTGTCCTGTCCCTGTGACGTCGGGACGTCGGCGGCGGGAAATTTAAAAATTTTAAAAAATGTCATTTTTTTTTTTTTTCATTTTACACAGTAAAACATTGCTGTCTCAACCTATTTCACATACATTTTGTCGATGTGCTTTGTCCTGCGCCCTGCCTGCATTTTTGTCTGTTCTTTCTGCCTGGAAAAACTGAGAAATGTCCATGGTGTCCAAAAGTGTCCCTTTAGGTCAAAAGCGGTTTAGATCAGCTAGAGAAACAGCGATAGTAAATCAGAACCACTTGCAGAATTGAGTGATAATGATTCGTGGGGGAAATTCGTCATCAGAAACTGAAAAACGATTTTGCGACTGAGCTCAGCGATGTGCGAACTTGGCGCTCTATTTCACATTTCAGTGTTTTTGGTTTGATTATATTATTGAATTAAATTTTTTATTATTTTTATATTATTTTTATGATTATTTATTAAATTATAATTTTATGATTTTGTGTTTCAAATTTTATCATACCCGGGATGTTTACTAGACTCTTTGTTCGGACAGATTTCAGTGGGTTTTTCCTAAAAATTACAGCCTACAATAAAAAAAATACATATTTCCATGCAAAAAAATGGTACCGCTTTCAGCACCAAAAATCTGAAATAATCATACCGCCAGGGAGGTTAAAAGAGCAGTGCGTGACAGACAGCCCAGAAATCTCAAAGAACTGGAAGACTTTTGTAAAGAAGAATGGGCAAAGATACCTCAAACAAGAATTGAAAGACTCTTGGCTGCTACAAAAAGCATTTACAAGCTGTGATACTTGCCAAAGGGGGCAGTACAAGATATTAACTCTGCAGGGTGCCCAAACTTTTGCAGACGCCCTTTTTTTTGTTTTCTGTTATTTTGAAAGTGTAAATGATGGAATAAATCTAACTTTTGTTGACATATTATAAGAATGTCTAATCTGTAATTTGATGCCTTTTGGAGATTTTTCCATCTTTCCTTGGCTTCTTTATGCACATTAATACAAATTGTTAGCTGGGGTGCCCAAACTTTCGATCTCCACCTGTATAACTGGGGATGTAGCTGTGTTTCAGAAATTAAGCAATCACATTAAAAATCTTGTTAAATAGAAGTCAGTACACACCGGCCATCATTTAAAGTGTCTCTTATTATTATACATCGAATTTATATAGCGCCAAAAGGTTTGCTCAGCGCTGTACAATAGGGGGGGGGGTGGGACAATACATGGAACAGCACAGCAACAACAAACAGCACACGAGGGGTTAGAGGGCCCTACTCTTTTGAGCTTACAATCTAGGATTAACCCCAAATAAAGTTCAGCTTTTCTAGTAGGTCTTTCCTGGCATTTTCTTGGTCACATCATACAGCAAAAGCCATGGTCTGCAGAGAGCTTCCAAAGCACCAGAGGGATCTCATTGTTAAAAAGGTATCAGTCAGGAGAAGGGTACAAAAGAATTTCCAAGGCATTAGATATACCATGGAACACAGTGAAGACCGTTATCATCAAGTGGAGAAAATATGGAGCAACAGTGACAAATCGCCAAGAACTGGACGTCCCTCCAAAATGGATGAAAGACAAGAAAACTGGTCTGGGAGGCTGCCAAGAGGCCTACAGCAACATGAAAGGAGCTGCAGGAATATCTGGCAAGTTACTGGCTGTGTGATCCATGTGACAACAATCTCCCGTATTCTTCATATGTCTGGGCTATGGGGTAGAGTGGCAAGATGGAAGCCTTTTCTTATGTAGAAAATCATCCAAGCACAGCTAAATTTTGCAAAAACACATCTGAAGTCTCCCAAAAGCATGTGGAAAAATGTGTTCTGGTCTGATGAAACCAAAGTTGAACTTTTTGGCCATAATTCCAAAAGATATGTTCTGTGCAAAAACAACACTGCACATCACCAAAAGAACACCATACCCACCGTGAAAGCATGGTGGTGGCAGCATCATGCTTTGGGGCTGTTTTTCTTCAGCTGGAACTGGGGCCTTAGTCAAGGTAGAGGGAATTATGAACAGCTCCAAATACCAGTCAATATTGGCACACAAACCTTCAGGCATCTGCTAGAAAGCTGAACAGTGAAGAAGAACTTCATCTTTCAGCATGACAACGACCCAAAGCATACATCCAAATCCACAAAGGAATGGCTTCACCAGAAGAAGATTAAAGTTTTGGAATGGCCCAGGCAGAGCCCAGACCTGAATCCGATGGAAAGTCTGTGGGGATGTGAAGAGGACTGTGCACAGGAGATGGCCTCACAATCTGACAGATTTGGAGTGTTTTTGGAAGGAAGAGCGGGCAAATATTGCCAAGTCAGGATGTCCCATGCTGATAGACTCCTCCCCAAAAAGACTGAGTGCTGGAATCACATCAAAAGGGGCTTCAACAAAGGATTAGTGTAAGGGTGTGCACACTTATGCAACCATATTATTTTAGTTTTTTTATTTTTACTTCCTCCACCTAAATGATTTCAGTTTGTTGTTCAATTGAGTTGTTACAGTTTATAGGTCACATTAAAGGTGGAAAACGTTCTGAGATTATTTATCTTTTTCTCATTTTTGTTTATATCACAGAAACCTGATATTTTTACAGGGGTGTGTAGACCTTTTTATATCCACGGTAAAATGAGTGAAAAACTGAGTTTTTACTTCCCTTGTAATCTCTGTGTGGCCTGGAACGCAGTGGAGTAGGACGCTTGTGTGGAGAGCTCTGCTCACCGCTCATCCTGAACCCAATATCCTGACCATGTATCCTTGACCACTTCCCGTTCCGGCCAATGTATATAAACGGCTAGACGGGAGCAGTGCAGGAGCTGGTGGCCATTTATAAACGTCCTCCCGCCTCCCTGCTTGTTCGCACTCCATGGGAGCACGCGGCACCGCGATTTGGTGCCCGCTGTATCCGGATCACTGTATGGGACCTCTGTGTGTGAGGTCCCGATCATGTGATCACATGAATAGTAGTAAGCAAGATGTCACTTCTGACATCATCGCTTACTACGTGTGAAATCTGTGAATGATCACAGAGGTCACATGGTACAGGGCTATTCACAACAGCCTTGTACCATGTGACAAGCTGTGACCAATCACAGCTCACACAGTATTTCTCAATGGCTGCATGAATGCAGCCAGAGAGAAGGAGAAATTAATGCTTTTACAGCCTTTATAGGTGTAAAGCAATCAGTATAAAAATAAAAAAATCTTCATCACACCCCACAAGTAGTACAGTGTTACTGTGGTGACACTGTATTGCTAGGGTGACAGTATGTTAAAAAAACATAAATAATAATATAAAAAAAATAAAAATGTAAAAAAAACATTTTTGAAAAATTATAATTTTTGGGTATAAACTAATTTTGGGTTATTTTTTTTTTTACTAAACAGATAACTGAATACATTTTGGCCAAAAAAACATAAATAATAAAAAAAAACATAAATAATATGTTAAAAATGTAAAAAAAATTATAATTTTTGGTTATTAACTAAACTAACAAAAGAAAAAGAGAGAGAAAAAGAGAGACAGAGAAAAAGAGACATGGAAATATAGAAAGAGGAAAAGAAAGAGAGAAAGAAAGAGAAAAAGAAAAATAGTTAAAGAGAAAGAGGAAAAGAGAAAAAGAAAGAAGGGAAGAACAAAAGAAAGAGAAAAAAAAAAAAAGTGAAAAAGAGAAATAGAAAGAGAGAAAGGAAAAAAAGAGAGAGAAAAAAAAAGAAAGAGAAAGAAAGACAGAGAAAAAGAGTTAAAAGAGAAACAGAAAGAGAGAAAAAGAAATAGAGAAAGAGAAAAATAGAGAACAAGAGAAAACAAAAGAGAAAGACAGAGGGAAAGAGAGAGTTAAAAAGAAAGAGAAAAAGAGAGAAAGAAAGAAAAAGAAAGAAAGAGAGAAAGAAAGAGAGAAAGAAAGAGAGAGAGAGAGAAAGAGAAAGAAAGAGAGAGAGAGAGAAAGAGAGAAAGAAAGAGAGAGAGAGAAAGAAAGAAAAAAGAGAGAAAGACAGAGAAATAGAAAGAAAGAAAGAAAGAAAGAAAAGAAAGAGAGAAAGAGAGAAAGAAAGAGAAATAGAGAGAAAGAAAGAGAGAAAAAAAGAAAGAGGGAGGAAGAGAAAAAGAGAGAAAGAAAGAGAGCAAGACAAAGCAGTGCACTGATTACATCCTCCGCACATCGCCCAATGTTCTCTGAGGACCTAGGTGGGATTAAACTGGGATGGGGGACGGGGGGTCCGGTGTAAACTGTGTGCTGCCTCCTCCACTGCTAGAGAGTAGCCGGCTCTCCTCCCTACACGTGGGCTAGATGGAGCGGGGAGCTGCAGAGGAGCCAGAGGTTGGTTCAGTGGGGTCCCAGGACTAGCTTCTGCAGCCCTTTACATTTTGCACCAGGGGCGACCACCCCGGTGCCCCCAATACTTTTGGCAATATAGTGTACTCAGTGAAGGTAGGAAATCATCAACAAGAACATGTAAAATAGTTTTTTCTCAGAGTTTTTACAACCGACTGGAGTTCCTATCGAGTTATATTCATAAATGAGGACATGTCTGTATATGTTGCAATATTAATTACCTGAAATGATCCCAGCCCCAACTCAAAGACCAGCCTTTCCCTCTTGCTGACGTTCTCCGGAGAAAAGGCAAAGACAGTGTAGTGTATTCCGAAAAGGGGGATCAGCAGTAACGTAGAGCGAGCCAACCTCCTGGTAGAGGGAAGAAAACAAAAGATTACTGCAAAATACTATACAAAATATTTGACTTAACACGTACACCGTGTCTATGTGTTCTATCATATCGCATATCTAGACTATTGAACAATGGTGTGGTGCTTCAATCCTTCTACTTGCTGATTTGCACTACAAACCAGAGAAACGCTTGAGATCTGCTGGCATGTAGAAGCTGCCTGTCTGGTAACCAGCTCATATTCACCAATATCATTACGATACATGAGAGCAACACCAACTGGACAGCCTTGTGGGTTCAACACTAACATTCCACTTTCCTTGACTATAATGTAGGTACCAGACTGCCCCTGGTAGTGCAATAATCAATCATGTGACCAATGTAATGGATCCTGTAAAAATGTGAGCCATCACTACTGTGTAGCTAGGGTTGTGCAAAATCTAAATCAGTCTTTTCCAACCAGGGTTCCTCCAGAGATTGCTTAGGGTTCCTCAAGCAATGTGCAATTTCTGCATCTCGTAACCAATGACACCGATGATGTTTTAGCTATGTGTATGGGTGGAATTCTTCCCAATGACCACAAATGTAGGAAGCACTGACCATCACACTAATGAACCCTCAAAGCTGTAGATATAGTAATTATTATCCGGGGGTTCCCTGAGACCTGAAAATTATTTCAAGGGTTCTTCCATGTAGAAAAGGTTGATAAAGGTTGCCCCAAATAGTTCTCAGCAGGGGCAGACTGACAACTCATGGGGCCCCGGGCAATAGGGGATCATGGGGCCCCTGTGTCCTTTCCCAAACTCAAAAAAAGCCTATGAAAAAGGTACCAGGGGCATCTCAAGGGGCCCGCTACTGACCCCGGGACCTTGGGCAATGCCGAGTTTCCAAATGGTCAGTCCGCCCCTGGTGCTCAGTGTGTGTTGTGAATAGGTAGACAGCGACCTGTCTGCACTGGACAATGACACAACATCAATGAATCATGCATCACTGAAGGTAGACACAGACAACACCACCGATGTCACAATCACGGTAACAAATCCATGGCAATGGGCACACTTACACAGTGATGATGGAAAGCTCAGACATCTTGACAGAGTACTGGTTAGCCCTCTTACAGAAGCATGCCTGGAAGCAGCTGACATACATGAGAGGATTAGAAGAGGTGAGGTGGTGGTGTACACACCAAAGGGGCTCATTTCATAACAAGCCGACATAGGAAAGAAAGCATTGCAACCTGTACAGAGTCCCCTGTCATCCTCAACCTTCAACTGACTGAATGGTCTGGAGGTGGAAGATAAAATAACCTTTCTAGAAGTTGCCGTTCCTGAGAGATCATATTTAAATTTGTTGTTGATAGCTGGGATAGTCAGGAATGTCGAAAAGTGTTTCTAAAAGTGAACCTGTCACCAACTCAACTGAGCATGTGATAAAACACTATGTAATAAGGGGTTTCCTTAAGAGAAAAAAAAAATGTAAATCTAGAGTTATACGCAAATCTTGACTCTACATGTAAAACAATGAGCTTGTCCCCACCCTGCTGAGCCTTCCAGAAGGCAGGAAGGGAGGGGAGAAGTGGTGCCTACAATGCGTAATTGGGCAAAAATGAAAGTTACTTAATTGGAGGTATAGGTTCATCCAAATCAAAAACAGCAAAGAAAAACATAACAAAAACAAAGTGGCAATTGCCAGACTGCAAAATGAAGTATAATTTAGAGGAATTTTGGGAAGAAAACTTACAATATTACCAACAATGAAAGTTCTAGAATATATATCTCTAAACGAAGGTCTGTGGGCCACATCTAGCCCTCTACAAAATTTTATCTGCCCCCCAGCTAGGGTCAGTGGTCTGTTCTATGTATATAATGTGCACTGATTGAGGTTCAAGATCATCAAAGGCTGCCTATGGTCTCCACTTTAACAAACCCCACCATGAAACAGGGGACTTTAATGTATGGGTGACTCTGATGAGGACCTTGATATAGGGGTACTGCGATGAACACTCTGATATAAGGGAGACTCTGATGGGGACCCTGATGTAAGGGAAAACTCTGATGAGGAACCTGATGTAAGGGGGGACTCTGGTAGAGACCCTGATGTAAGGGAGACTCTGATGGAGAATGTGATGTAATGGGGGCTCTGATAGAAGCCCAGAGGTAAGTAGACCCTGATGTAATGAAGACTTGGTTGGGACTGTGATTTAACGGGGGCTCTGATGGGGACCTTGATGTAAAGAAGACATGGTTGGGACTGTGATTTAAGAGGGCACTGATGGATACCTTGACGTAAGGAAGGCTTGGTTGGGACTGTGATTTAAGGGGGCTTTGATGGGACCTTAATGTAAAAAGGGGGCTCTGATAGGGACCCTGAGGTCAGTAGGATTCTGATGGGGACCTTGATGTAAAGAAGACTTGGTTGGGACGGTGACTGAAGAGGGCTCTGATGGGGACCTTGAGGTAAGGAAGACTTGGTTGAGACTGTGATTTATGGGGTTCTGATGGGGACCTTGATGTAAGGAAGACTTGGTTGGGACTGTGATTTAAGGGGTTCTGATGGGGACCTTGATGTAAGGAAGACTTGGTTGGGACTGTGATTTAAGGGGGCTCTGATGGGGACCTTGATGTAAAAAGGGGGCTCTGATAGGGACCCTGAGGTAAGTAGGACTCTGATGGGGATCTTGATGTAAGAAAGACTCTAATGGGTTTTTTTCAGCCTGCTATTATTTGTAAAATATACAATATGGCCTTCATACTGGAGATCCCTGTTCTAGAAAATGGAGGGGGTGGGGCCAATATTGTTGTTATTACAAATATTACAATTTGTATATAGCTTCAGCTTCCAAACGCATTGGACTTGCTGGTCATTTTGCCATCAGTTTTGACCAAAGGAACCTCTACCAATGTGTTTTTTTAAATTTCATCATATGTTCAGGTTGAGTTTTCTAGGATGGTAACAGGTTAACTTTAAAGAACTTCAGACTAACTGAATGCAAGAAAAAAAACACTAGAAAATCGACTTTTGCTGTATCCAACAGCAAACAGTGCTAAAATCCAAATTTTTATTTACATCCAAATAAAGGATGCATGTTCTCAAAAATGACCTCCAGGGAGTTTCATTCCAGTCTCTACGATACCATTTCCTTTACTCTATTTCTGCCGTCATGTTCTTATTGTCATACATATGTTATGAATATCGTGTTAACCAACACGATTACAACATCAACTGGGAGAGGGAAAATAGCCCTCAACTTGACGCGTTTCACGGAAAGTGGAATATTCACCACATTCACTTAGCCAAAATTAAACTTCCATGCAAAGTGAAAAACATTTCCTTTGCAAAGTCAACATGATCTACACCTTTAAATAAAATCAACCCCTAAATATGCAAGAAATTAAGGTAAAAATGTAAAAGTCACATAAAAAAAAATGAAACATTACAATAATACCTTCAAAATATGTGCTCACCAAAAAACACACAGTAGGTTCCCCCGTTAACTCCTTCTTGCCAGTTTCAGCATCCCTGTATCTGGACTATTACACCCAGGGAGCGGGCCTGCATAATCTTGTGGCCACTGTGATTGGCTGTCACAATGGTCACATGATCAGAAGCCAGTCCTGCCAGCTCCCAATCATTAGTATAGACCGACAGCTGTATGTGACATCTCAGTCTTTGTGCTGGGAGTATGCAGTGAGTGCACTCTCAGCACAGAGATCTCTCCCTCCCATAGGCACATATGTGCAGCATGTGGACGTTAAATCGCATTTAGCTGTTATGTGGACAAAAAAGGGGTTAAATGAAAATAGGTCAAGGCAAGAATAACCATCACGTGTTTGTAAACACTGCATCTGGGAGTGTCCACTCGAAATGACACAACTAGTGATGCCTGGGGTAATCCATATGGCACACAAGGTCATTACTGTCCCAGGCAGCCTCTGTGGGATGAAGAAAATGACAAAATCTGATCTGACTGCAAACAACGTATCAAAAAAAACAACATGCAGACATGGTTAGTCAACTTTTTATGTCTTATTTATTACCTAAATCTCTGTTCTGCCTGAAGTTCTCTTTACATTTTTTTTTACCACCTCTAAAAAAACTTTGCAGATTCTAAATTGGTTCTTATGGGCACTAATTCACTTTCCTCTGTACTACTTCTTACTGAGAAGCCCCCTATTTAACACAAATCACACCACAGGACCACTCACAACACAACAGACATTGGTACAGTAGTCATGGCAAGACATGTAAACCACAATTCATTGCAATACAAAGACATAATACAAGATGTCCCATGTTCTCAAAGTCTACTCACCATGAAGAACCAGTTAAGTGTTAACTCAAAAGGTTGATTTACTGAAGGCAAATAGAATGTTCACTTTGCAAGGGAAGTTGCACATGCAAAAGAATTTACCCCATAGCTTAGTGAATGAGGACGGAGGGTTAGGTTTAAAGTTAAGGGCTGGGGGTAGGTTTAGGGTTCGGGATAGGGTTCGGAATAGGGTTTGGGATAGGGTTGAGGTTAGCAGGACACGATTAGCGGGGTAGGGTTAGGGTTGGGGTTAGCAGGGTAGGATTAGGGTTGGGGTAAGGTTAGGGTTTGAGTTATCAGGGTAGGGTTAAGGGTGGGGCTAGTGGAGTAGGGTTAGGCATGGGGATAGGGTTAGGGTTAGCAGGTTAGGGTTAGTGGGGCAGGGTTAAAGTTAGGGATAGGGTTAGGTTTGGGATTAGTGGCGTAGGGTTGGGGTTAGCAGGGTAGGGGTTAATGGGGTAGGGTTGGGGTTGGGGAGAGGGTTGGGGTTAGCAGGGTAGAGTTAGGGGGGTAGGGTCAGAGTTGGGGTTAGAGGGGTAGGGTTGAGGTTAGCAGGGTAGGGTTAGGGTTGAGGTTAGTGGGGTAGCATTAGGGTTGGAGTTAGTGGGGTAGGGTTAGCAGGGTAGAGTTGGGATTGGAATTAATGGGGTAGGGTTAGGGACAGGGTTAGGGTTGGGGTTTAGTGGGGTAGGGTTAGGGTTGGGGTTATCAGGGTAGGGTTAGGGGGGGTTGGGTTAGAGTTGGAGTTAGCGGGGTAGGGTTAGAGTTGGGGTTAGCGGGGTAGGGTTGAGGTTAGCAGGTTAGGGTTGGGGTTAGCAGGGTAGGATTAGGGTTGGGGATAAGGTTAGGGTTTGGGTTAGAAGGGTAGGGTTAAGGGTGGGGCTAGTGGAGTAGAGTTAGGCATGGGGATAGGGTTAGGGTTGGGGTTAGCAGGTAAGGGTTAGGGTTGGGATTAGTGGGGCAGGGTTAAAGTTAGGGATAGGGTTAGGTTTGGGATTAGTGGGGTAGGGTTGGGGTTAGCAGGGTATGGGTTAGTGGGGTAGGGTTAGGGTTAGGGTTGGGTGGGCGGTTTGAAGGTGGGGTTGGGGTTAGTGGGGTAGGGTTAAAGTTAGGGATAGGGTTAGGTTTGGGATTAGTGGCGTAGGGTTGGGGTTAGCAGGGTAGTTAATGGGGTATGGTTGGGGTTGGGGAGAGGGTTAGGGTTGGGGTTAGCAGGGTAGAGTTAGGGGGGTAGGGTCAGAGTTGGGGTTAGAGGGGTAGGGTTTAGGTTAGCAGGGTAGGGTTAGGGTTCAGGTTAGTGGGGTAGCAATAGGGTTGGGGTTAGTGGAGTAGGGTTAGAAGGGTAGAGTTAGGATTGGAATTAATGGGGTAGGGTTAGGGACAGGGTTAGGGTTGGGGTTAGTGGGGTAGGGTTAGGGTTGGGGTTATCAGGGTAGGGTTAGGGGGGTAGGGTTAGAGTTGGAGTTAGCGGGGTAGGGTTAGAGTTGGGGTTAGCGGGGGTAGGGTTGAGGTTAGCAGGGTAGGGTTAGGGTTGGGGATAAGATTAGGGTTTGGGTTAGAAGGGTAGGGTTAAGGGTGGGGCTAGTGGAGTAGAGTTAGGCATGGGGATAGGGTTAGGGTTGGGGTTAGCAGGTAAGGGTTGGGATTAGTGGGGCAGGGTTGGGGTTAGCAGGGTATGGGTTAGTGGGGTAGGGTTAGGGTTGGGTGGGCAGTTTGAAGGTGGGGTTGGGGTTAGTGGGGTAGGGTTAGTAGGGTAGAGTTAGGATTGTAATTAATGGGGTAGGGTTAGGGATAGGGTTGGGGTTAGTGGGGTAGGGTTAGCATTGGGGTTAGCAGGGTAGGGTTAGGGGGGGTAGGGTTAGAGTTGGGGTTAGCAGGGTAGGGTTGAGGTTAGCAGGGTAGGGTTTTGGTTGAGGTTAGTGAGGTAGCGTTAGGGTTGAAGTTAGTGGGGTAGGGTTAGGGATAGGGTTTAGGGTTGGGGTTAGTGAGGTAGGGTTAGGGTTGGGGATAGAGTTAGGGTTGGTGTTAGGGTTAAGTGGGTAGGGTTAGCTCTGAAGAAAATTCCTGCGCTAAATGCAACTATCCAAATGGTCGATTTTTGCTAAAGGGGAATAGGCTATTTGCTGTACAAATGAATTTTTCCCTTAGCTTAGTGACTGTGGTGAAAATTCACTTTGCAAAGAATACCCAATCATGTACATGGAAAAGCACTTTTTTTGTATTTGATTGGATGATGGAAGTACAAGCTCCCTTGCAAAGTGAACAGCCTATTTGCCTTCAGTAAATTAACTGCAAACTGTCAGTCAAGCTTATAAAGTGCTATATCACTTGTCTGGGGGGGGGGGGGTAAGTCATCAACAACTTTTTTATGTCTAGCCAGGACCCCTGGGATCTCGATGTCAAAGTGAAATTCCAAACAGTGGAAAGAAGTTTAATGATATATTCTGCCTTTTGTAAAGAAATGAGCCCATATTGCATAAAAAAAAATGAAAATGTGGATGTATTAATTTTTTGAATTGAAGCCTGCAAAGCATTTCAACTGTGATCAGTAGATGGTGGGTGAAAGGGATATTTCTTTAACAAACACTGGCAGGTTTAGGCCGCGTTGGATCCAAGGGACTATTCTCTGGAAGGATGAAAAATACACATGCATGTCAATGCACAGGTGCCTGCAGACTATTCCTCCGGCCCAGTCTGTATGGCGGTACAGACCTTCGGTTATTAGGCTGAAGGAAGTGTGGTGACATCACTGTACTTGTGTTCCTTTGATAATTACTGTGGGGGCAGTTGGGACTTGTTGTCTTCCATTCACAGATGCATGTAAATGGAGCTGTGAATAGATGATATGAAAGAGTGGGACCGGCCATGCACAGTCAAGCTGAATAAAAAAGAACATGGCTCGGGGGAGAAGAAATCCACAGTTCAGGTAAGTTGGTTGACGGCTTGAAGGTGGGGTGGGCGGTTTGAAGGTGGAGCGGGTGGCTTGAAGGAGGAGCGGGTGGCTTGAAGGTGGAGTGGGTGGTTTGACGGTAGAGTGTGTGGCTTGAAGGTGGAGTGTGTGACTTGAAGATGGAGCCGGTGGCTTGAAGGTGGGGAGAGTGCTTTGAAGGTGGAGTGGGTGGCTTGAAGGTGGAGTGTGTGACTTGAAGATGGAGCCGGTGGCTTGAAGGTGGGGAGAGTGCTTTGAAGGTGGAGTGGGTGGCTTGAAGGTGGAGTGGGTGACTTGAAGATGAAGCAAGTGGCTTCAAGATGGAGTGGGTGGCTTCAACATGGAGTGGGTGGCTTGAAGGTGAAGTGAATGGCTTCAAGATGGAGTGGGTGACTTGAAGGTGGAGTGGGTGGCTTGAAGGTGAAGTGGGTGACTTGAAGATGAAGCGAGTAGCTTCAAGATGGAGTTGGTGGCTTCAATATGAAGTGGGTGGCTTGAAGGTGAAGTGGGTGGCTTGAAGATGAAGCGAGTGGCTTGAAGATGGAATGGGTGGCTTGAAGATGGAATGGGTGGCTTGAAGATGGAGTGGGTGGCTTGAAGGTGGAGTGTGTGGATTAAAGGAGGAGTGGGTGGCTTGAAGGTGGGGTGGGTGGCTTAATGGTTGGGTGGGTGCTTTGAAGGTGGAGAGGGTGGCTTGAAAGTGGAGTGGGTGGATATGAAATAGCACCATGTTTTATGTTACACCCAAGGTCTCATTTACACAGATAGCCAAGGGGAGGTAAAAAACAGGTGGTTAAGCAGCGGTTCTACCACCTCTTGGCTGCAGAGTTGCAAGTAAACATGGACAACGACCATGTTAGTACACATTGCAGTGATTGTGATGCAGCAAAAAATATACCATGTGTTGTATTTGGAACACCATACGTGACCCATTCAAGTGCTGGACTGGGCAGGAACTGCTCAGTAACAGTGTGAAATGCATGCAATGCAGTGTTGCGGCTTTTCAAAGGTTAACCCAGGTGGTGAGGAGGTGACCTATCTCCTCCAAGCCATCTGTCAAATGCCTTTGAAGAAATCCAAAGGGATGGTAAACACAGGGCCTGCACTACCGCTAGGCGAACTAGGCAGCTGCCTAGGGAGTAGCCATGGCCGCTGGTTTCCCTTGTAGAAACCCAAAAGCAGCCAGAGTAGGGGAGAACCAGACAGATTGAGGTAGAGAGTTCCAGAGGATGGGAGAGGCTTTGGCGAAGTCCTGGAGACGAGCATGGGAGGAGGAGGCAAGGGAGCTAGAGAGCAGGAGGTCATGAGAGGAGTGGAGAGTCCTGTTTGGGTGATATTTGGAGACAAGATTGACGATGTAGCTCGGGGCAGAGTTGTGAATGGCTTTGTATGTTGTTAGTATTTTAAATTTAATTTGCTGGCTTATCAGAAGCCTGTGAAGGGATTGGCAGAAAGGGGTGGCAGACACTGAGTGGTTGGTAAGGTAGATGATTCTGGCAGCAGCATTCATGATTTATTTATTATTTATCATTTATTATTTGTTTTATTTAAATGTGTTTTTTTTAACACTGTGCCTTTAATTTTTTTAATCAACTTTATTGCTATCACCAGGGATGGACAACATCCCTGGTGATAGCTTGGGCCGTGACAGGTCCTCTTTATGGAGATATCTGGGGTCATGCCTCTCCTCTGCCCTTCAAAGCATCTGATCAAACCAAGATTGGTTTGATCAGATGCTTTCACAACAAACCGAATCTGGGAGTGACAAAACCTGGTTTCTGATCTCGCAGAGCGGAGGAACAATGTCTGTTCCTCCTTCAGTGTTCAGTGCACCAGATGCCGCTAGTAGGAGCGACAGAGACAGATGTGCCATTTACAAATAGTATAATAAAAATATTTTTTTTTAAAAATGGATCCCAACAAAATAAAAATCTGTCAAAAAATAAAAAAGATATAAAATTCATTTGGTTACAATGTTGCATGATGGAGTAATTGTCAGTCAAAGTATCACAGCACTGAAAAATGGCCTGGTAATGAATAGCGTATTACAGACTGGTACATAGATCATGAAAGTTAGGTATACCTTGTTAGTCACTATGAGGGGTGTAGATAGATGTAAGGAATCAATAGGACCTATAGATATCTACATAATATTCAATTCTATTATTATTATTATACAGGATTTATGGCGCCAACAGTTTGCTCAGCGCTTTACAATATAACTGGAGACAATACAGCAACAATACAGTTCAATAAAAGAGGGTTGGGAGGGCCCTGCTCCTTGGAGCTTACAATCTAAGAGGGAGGGGCTAGTGGTACAAAAGGTAGAAACTGTGGGGGATGGACTGGTTGGAAGAGTAGAAGATTTCATTATTAGCTGAGGGCAGGATAGGCTTCCCTGGAGAGATAGGTTTTCAGAGATCACCTAGAAGTGATCAAAGTAGGCGATAGTCTGATAAATTGGGGTAGAGAGTTCCAGAGGATGGGGGAAGCTCTGGAGAAGTCCTGGAGACAAGCATGGGAGGAGGAGATAAGGGCGCTAGAGAGTAGGAGGTCTTGTGAGGAGCGGAGAGGACGGTTTGGGTGGTATTTGGAGACAAGATCGGTGATGTAATTTGGGGCAGAGTTATAAATGGCTTTATATGTTATTGTTAATGTTTTGAATTTTATCCGTTGGGCAATGGGAAGCCAGTGGAGGGATTGGCAGAGAGGGGTGGAGGACACTGAGTGAGGCCAGTGGAGGGATTGGCAGAGAAGGGTGGAGGACACTGAGTGGAGGCCAGTGGAGGGATTGGCAGAGAGGGGTGGAGGACACTGAGTGGAGGCCAGTGGAGGGATTGGCAGAGAGGGATGGAGGACACTGAGTGGAGGCCAGTGGAGGGATTGGCAGAGAGGGGTGGAGGACACTAAGTGGAGGCCAGTGGAGGGATTGGCAGAGAGGGGTGGAGGACACTGAGTGGAGGCCAGTGGAGGGATTGGCAGAGAGGGATGGAGGACACTGAGTGGAGGCCAGTGGAGGGATTGGCAGAGAGGGGTGGAGGACACTGAGTGGAGGTCAGTGGAGGGATTAACAGAGAGGGGTGGAGGACACTGAGTGGAGGCCAGTGGAGGGATTGGCAGAGAGGGATGGAGGACACTGAGTGGAGGCCAGTGGAGGGATTGGCAGAGAGGGATGGAGGACACTGAGTGGAGGCCAGTGGAGGGATGGCAGAGAGGGATGGAGGACACTGAGTGGAGGCCAGTGGAGGGATTGGCAGAGAGGGATGGAGGACACTGAGTGGAGGCCAGTGGAGGGATTGGCAGCAGAGAGGGGTGGCAGATACAGAACGGTTAGTAAGGTGGATGAGTCTGACAGCAGCATTCATGATAGACTGAAGAGGGGATAGCCTGCGATGAGCTCGGCCAATGAGGAGGGAGTTACAATAGTCAAGGCGAGATATAACCAGGGAGTGAATAAGTTGCTTAGTGGTTTCCGAGGTTAGGAACGGGCGTATCTTGGAGATGTTGCGGAGGTGAAGTCTATATGATTTGGACAGTGATTGGATTTGGAATTCTAATGATGTATTGCATAAATATGGTTGAATGAAAAAAAAAAAACTATACACAGTGTCTAATTTACAGCAGATCATGGGGTGTCAGAAGGGAAATAGAGGGGGGTAATATACTCACAGATATATACTGGACTCATTGCCGCCTATGTCTGGAGACTGCAGCTTCTGCACCAGAATTATGATGATGCCAACAAACAGCACAAAGTTGATCTGTAGAAAAAAAAATCAATAATAAATGTAATACAGGAAACGGCCTACTGGGGGCAGCATTTTGTGTCCTAAGACCAAAAATTTTTAAACAATGCCCTCAGCTCAGCCAGTTGTTACTTGGAAAGCAAGAGTTAAGATATAAAAATGAGGTATATAAAAAAATCCAGCGAGCAACCAAACACACAAACAAATATTATAAAAACAAACAATCACTCCAAATGAAGTCGCTTACACCCCTGCACATACTCATCAATGTGTCTCAACAAACAAATAAGTGCGGCGCCTTCTAATGACCAAAAAAGTAAATAATTAATATATAGACATAGCAAAGAAATCTTGTGCACAATAATGAGTATATAAATTCCCATATATCTTGCTGCGACTTTAATCTTTCAATATTCTATCTTCATACGACATAAAACAGTGTTCCTCCACCAACACCCAAGTTGTGCTCTTTTTCACCTCACATTATACAATCAGTGGCGTCCCGAGGCAGGTGCAGGGGGTGTGCGCCGCACCGGGTGACATCTATCACACCGGGTGACACCGGACCCACTCCACGAAAAGGTAAGTTGTAAAGCAAGCCGACGATCCCCGCAGATGGATCGGATCTGCGGATTGGGGAGCATAATGGATCGGAGTCTGATCCATTATGCTCCGCAATCCGCAGATCCGATCTATTCTGCGGGGATCGTCGGCTTGCTTTACAACTTACCTTTTCTTGGAGCGGGTCCGATGTCACTCTGTATAGGTTGCATGCCGACGATCCCCACAGGATGGATCGGATCTGCGGATTGGAGAGCATTATTTTTGTCCCATTTAGAGGTCACCAAAACATTGTATACTGGGGCATCCCTAGGGTTGGTGTCACCCGGTGCGATAACACTTGGTGACACCCCTCCGACGATCCGCGCAGAATGGACCGGATCTGCAGATTGAGCATAATGGATCGGACTCCGATCCATTATGCTCCCCAATTCGCAGATCCGATCCATCCTGCGGGGATCGTCGGCATGCAACCTATACGGGGTGACACCGGACCCGCTCCACGAAAAGGTAAGTTGTAAAGAAAGCCGACGATCCCCGCAGGATGGATCGGATCTGAGAATTGGGGAGCATAATGGATCGGAGTCCGATCCATTATGCTCAATCCGCAGATCCAATCCATTCTGATTGGGATCCTCGGAGGGGGTGTCACCAAGTGTTACCGCATCGGGTGATACCAACCCTAGGGACGCACCTTTATACGTTTTGGTTACACCACGCTTGTGTCCTCTAAAAGGGACAAAAATAAGATGTAGGTTCCCCTGTCGGCACTCCTTCCCACAACGGGCTTTAAATCTTGTCCACCTTCTCCTCCTCTCCCCAGCGATACGTAAAAAACAGAATAGGCAGAAATAGTGCTCTATGGTTTAAAACACTTTAATAAAATAGGTAAAAATGCCACTCACATGCTTTCGGTGCTAAATCGCACCAGATATATACCACATAACAGCAATATTACCCTTCCTCTGTTATCCTATACTCTGACTCTGCGTTGCGTCGTGACGTCAGCTGGCCCCTCCCCATGAAATGCTCCTGGTACCTTTTATAGGATTTTTTGGTGTGCTTTGAGTGTGGGCAAGGACACAGGGGCCCCATGATCCCTTATTGCTCGGGGGCCCCATGAGTTGTCAGTCCGCCCCTGGGTACTCCTTTTTTGGGGACATCTGTATGTGTGTTAGCGTGAATACGGCGGGTATATTTTACTCATGAGGGTGGTGGGTGCATTAGAGTGTAAGCTTCTCCAAGACAGAAATTGATATGAATGTTTCAGTGTTCTCTGTAAAGCTACAAGGAATAGATATAATAAATACATCTAAAAATATAAAATATAATATATAAAATAAATATAATAAATAAAAATGTGCAGCAATCCCCCCCTCCCCCCTCAATATAGACTGTTTCCCCTTTACATTTTTTGAACTGCAATTTGTATTCTTTTTTCACTGATAGGGGTCTATTTATAAAATATTTGTTTCCAATTGTCAGAAGTATTCATTCAAGCTGGCCAAAGTTTCTCTAAGTATTTTTTTCTAATAGATTAATTCCTTTTATCCTCAGCTCCATTTACTGGCCAAAATGCCATATGTTTTCTCATTGAGGTACTGCAGAAACATATACTGCTTTTTGGCCACTAGATGGAGATGAGGATATAGGAATGAATCTACTAGAAAAAATACTGGGCTAGCTTGCAAAGAAGCTTCCGTCATTCAGCCAGGCAATGTTTGATAAATAGACCCCAACTATATAAATCACCTCAAATGACAGAAAACTACACCTAAAACTGATAACAGAACACTCAGTGGGGCTTCTCATGCCATTTATGTGACACTAGAATGTCCAGTAGCCCTCCAAAGAGCCAAAAGTGACTTCAGAATTTGTCCTGACTACTATCAGTGCAATTTGATGTCAAAATTGAATTTAGCACATTTTGAAAAATATTTTCCATATCCAGAATAATCTGAATTTCAGTAGATCCTCTCATCGCTTTTCAGGAGGTGTGTGGCACAGGGCATGTTTTTGATTTTGACTTGGTGTCATTATACTGTACTAACCATGCTCTCAGTTAATAGTCAGCGGTGACGTGACACCATAACAGAGGCTAGTTGGTAATAATTGATGAAAGAACATCACGCACAGGTGCTTTCACCCAACACAGGAAAGGAAAGGAAAGAAAAAGGAAAGGAAAAAAATCGAAAGAAGAATGGAAGGAGGAATGGAACTAAAATAAAAGGAAAGAAGGAAGGAGGGGGAGGAGGGAAGGAAAGGAATTAAATTGAAGGTAGAAAATGGAACAAAAATAAAAGGAAAATAAGGGAGGGAATGAGGAAAGGAAAGGAAAGACATCGAAGGAAGAATGGAAGGAGGAATGAAACTAAAATAAAAGGAAAGAAGGTAGGAGGGTGAGGAGGGAAGGAAAGGAATTAAATTGAAGGTAGAAAATGGAACAACAATAAAAGGAAAATAAGGAAGGGGAGGAAAGAAGAGAGGGAATGAAGAAAGGAAAGGAAAGAAAAGGATGTAAGGATGGGAAAGAAGGGAAGGAATAAGGAAAGGAAAGGAAAAGAAAGGAAAGGAAAGCAAAGGAAAGGAAAGGAAGAATGGATGGAGGAATGGAACTAAAATAAAAGGAAAGAAGGAAGGAGGGAGAGGAGGGAAGGAAAGGAATTTAATTGAAGGTAGAAAATGGAACAACAATAAAAGTAAAATAAGGAAGGGGAGGAAAGAAGAGAGGGAATGAAGAAAGGAAAGGAAAGAAAAGGAAAGAAAAGGATGTAAGGATGGGAAAGAAGGGAAGGAATAAGGAAAGGAAAGGAAAGACATCGAAGGAAGATAATGGAACTAAAATAAAAGAAAAGAAGGAAGGAGGGGGAGGAGGGAAGGAAAGGAATTTAATTGAAGGTAGAAAATGGAACAACAATAAAAGTAAAATAAGGAAGGGGAGGAAAGAAGGGAGGGAATGAAGAAAGGAAAGGAAAGGAAAGAAAAGGAAGAAAAGGATGTAAGGATGGGAAAGAAGGGAAGGAATAAGGAATAAGAAAGGAAAGGAAAGGAAAGGAAGGAAAGGAAAGGAAAGACAACGAAGGAAGAATGGAAGGAATGGATGAAACTAAAATAAAAGGAAGAAGGAAGGAGGGGGAGGAAGGAAGGAAAGGAATTAAATTGAAGGTAGAAAATGGAACAAATGAATAAAAGGAAAGAAATAAGGAAGGGGAGGAAAGAAGGGAAATGAAGAAAGGAAAGGAAAGGAAAAAAAGGAAAGAAAAGGATGTAAGGATGGGAAAGAAGGGAAGGAATAAGGAAAGGAAAGGAAAGGACATCGAAGGAAGATAAATGAACTAAAAGACAATGGAACAACAATAAAAGTCAAATAAGGAAGGGGGGGAATAAGGAAGGGGAAATGAAGAAAGGAAAGGAAAAGAAAAGAAAAAAGGATGTAAGGATGGGAAAGAAGGGAAGGAATAAGGAAAAGGAAAGGAAAGGAAAGGAAGGGAAAGGAAAGGAAAGAAAGACAACGAAGGAAGAATGGAAGGAGGGATGAAACTAAAATAAAAGGAAAGAAGGAAGGAGGGGGAGGAGGGAAGGAAAGGAATTAAATTGAAGGTAGAAAATGGAACAATAAAAGTAAAATATAAGGAAGGGGAGGAAAGAAGAGAGGGAATGAAGAAAGGAAAGGAAAGGAAAGAAAAGGATGTAAGGATGGGAAGGAATAAGGAAAGGAAAGGAAAGACATCGAAGGAAGATAATGGAACTAAAAGAAAAGAAAAGAAGGAAGGAGGGGGAGGAGGGAAGGAAAGGAATTAAATTTAAGGAAGAAAATGGAAAGGAAAGGATGAATGTGTTTGCTGATGTATGGTATAAATAGAGTGTTACTCAGCCAATGTACCTGCAAAATCTATAAATATTACTATACAAAATATAAAATAAATAAAATATAATTTAAATTAAATATACATAATTAAGATCTTACCATAATGGAGCCAATGACTGGACCCTTTATGACCCACCAGAGGGCGACATTCGTGTTCATTTCCCAACAGCTAAGAGAGTAGTTAAAAAATAAATGAAATATTCCGCCATTTACAGTCAAATACATCAATATGTGCCATGCATAGATATTAATCATACAACTATTTCTATTGCATACACACCCCTGGTCATCAAAGTGAAGTCGCAGCACAGCCCATATAGTGACACATATAAGTGGAGTTCCTAGAGAAAATAAATAAATAAACAGGGAGTTATATCGACCCTTAGAAATAAGTCTCACATGGAAATAAAACTCAGGTCTCCTAAGATTTACCCTGACGTCAAAGAAATCATTTTTATTATTGAAATGTTTTTATTTATTTTTTTATTGTCAAGGTAGCATTTTCTAAAGCACAAAACCCTAAAGAATAACTCCACATTTGTTGAGAAAAGAAACCTCCCCTCTGGGTGATCTATGTACATTGCAGGGATTGTAACAAACTTTGTTGCAGATTTCTACAATTGTATATGCTATACATTTTTTTTATTTGCAAATTTTTCCCACAAAAGCGGAGTTGCCCTTTAAAATAAAAAAAAAAAAAACGCTTAAAGGCATACTGCCACACTTCCAAAAAATTTTTTTCCAGAAATAAGGTAAACACCCTCTTATACCTGAAGGTAGAACTAAAGGCAAAACTTTTTTCATTTTCTATAGAGCAAGGGAGGGTTACAACCCCTGTTAGTTAGTTTTTTTGCCATCTGTTTCCCATTGGGGGGATTTTCCTTCACTTCCTGTCCTGTAGATACAACAGGAAGTAAGAGCAAATCCTGCCAAAATGAGGCAATCCCCGATTGTAGCCAGAAATTAGTGTAGGAGATCCTTTAAGTAAGCTCCTCTTCCTCCATTCACAAAATGCCAAGCGTTGTGGGAATATTGTAAGTTGAGTTCTATGAATGATGGTGGAGGCAGAAGGAGGAAGGTGAATGGCAGCACCTTCTGTTAACCATCACAGCACTGAAAGACAGCCACCCAGGGCAAAATCCAGTGGCTTTGAAGGAGCAACTGCAGCAAGATTTGTTTCCAGAAGCAAAGAAGCAACCACCGGCATAGGGGGTTATATGGCAAGAACAAAAGAGTGGAAGGTAGGAAAGAAAGGAAAAGAAACAGAAAGAAGGAAGGAAGGAGAGGAAAGGAAAGGAAAGGAGGGAGTGAGGAAGAAAGGAATGAAAAGAAAAGGAGAGGAGAGATGATGGAAAGGAAGGGAAAAAAGGAGAGGAGGAAGGAGGGGAAAGGAAAGGAAAATGGAAGAAGGAAGGAAGGAAGGAAGGAAGGAAGGAAGGAAGGAAGGAAAGGAAAGGAAGGCGAGGAAAGGAAAGGAGGGAGGAAGAAAGAAATAAAAAGGAGAGGAGAGATAAAGGAAAGGAAGATAAGGAAGGAAGAGGAGGAAGGAGGGGAGAGGAAAGGAAAGGAAAGGAAAGAAAAGGAAGGAAAGGAAAATGAAAGGAAAGGAAAATGGAAGGAAGGAAGGAAGGAAGGAAGAAAGGAAGGCGAGGAAAGAAAAGGAGGGAGGAAGAAAGGAATGAGAGGAGAAGAGAGGGATGAAGAGAGGTAGGAAGGAGGAAATGAAAGGAAAAGAGGAAAAAGGAAGGAAGGAAGGAAGGAGGGAGGAAGAAAGGAATGGAGAGGAAGAAAGGAATGGAGAGGAGGGAGAGGAGAGGAGGGGAGAAGAGTTGGTAATAATTGATGAAAGAACATCACACACAGGTGTTTTTACCCAACACAGGAAAGGAAAGGAAAGGAAATAAAAGGAAAGGAAATGAAACGAAAGGATGAAGGAAGAAATTAAGAAAGGAAAGGATGAAGGATGAAGGAAGAAGAGAAAAGGGAAAGGAGGGGAGAGGAGAGGGATGAAGAAAGGAAGGAAGGAGGAAAGGAAAGGATTGAAGAAGACAGGAAAGAAGGAAGGTAGAAAGGAAAGGATGAAAGGAAGAAAAGGAGAGGAATTACTCTGAACCAGGGGTGAACTGACCATTTGGAAACTCGGTCACTGCCCGAGGGCCCGGGGTCTGTAGGGGGCCCCATGAGATGCCTCTGGTACCTTTTTCATAGGCTCTTTTGAGTTTGGGCAAGGACACAGGGGCCCCATGATCCCCTATTGCCTGGGGGCCCCATGAGTTGTCAGTCCGCCCCTGCTCTGAACCCCTCCAAGCATTTTGTACGGATGGATGTTGTTCCATTCTATGTTGGCATTTCACAGACTTGGTGTCATTATACTGTACTAACGACATTCTCGGTAAATATTCAGCGGTGAAGTGACACCATAAAGGAGGCTAGTCGGTAATAATTGATGAAAGCACATCACGCACAGATGCTTTCACCCAACACCTGAAAGTCAAAGCAGCATTAAAAAATAATTGTAAGTCACCCGATGACAAGAGCCCCCAGTGGATGAAGAAACACGGCTTCTGGAAAATCAGGAACGGCAGCATTTTCTTTGAAATACAAAGCCGGAGCGGCAGTCAGATCGGCAGCAGAAATCGAGCATGGCAGGAGCCCGGCGTTTGATATGAGGCTTGTAATTAAAATGCAAATTTATGTCATACAGCGCTGCACTCTCTACAATCTCTCCACTAGATGAATTATTTAAAGGGTTCTTCACGTGAAATCCTTCAACGCGTGCCGAGGAGCAGCGAGCTGCGTTCTTCAAACTTGGGGCGATGATGATAATTAGGAAGTGGAGAATTTTAAGTGACTACCAATGTTCACGCTGAACTCTGGGCACACAGATAAATACACACATACGCTGAAACTGTGCTCTGTACCAATGGATTGCGGATGTTTGTCAGCCAATCTTGTGATCCACACAAGACAGCACAGGAAGGTTGGTGACCTCACTTCTTACTGCCATTAGCCAGTTACAATACGGTCACCAACCTGCCCCAGGTCTGTGATTGGATAATGAAGGAGAAGCAGCAGACTAATGAGGTCATCATTCTAATGTCTCTTCCTCTAAACAGGACTGGCTGACAGTATCTTGCAAAGCAGTAAATCCCTGGGTTCTTATTTACATGGGTGTCAGCCACTACCACCCCTCCGAAAAGTGATATGTGGCAGATGGTGTAGCAGAAGCTTCCAGGTGTACTTCCACCTCCTGAATGTCTGTTTTTTGTGGGATTTTTTTTCAGCCAAATGGAGGAATTTGTATTTAATTACCCCAATACAACCGCAGGCCAATTATCCCAGAAGTCTCGGGTAAGATAAGTAAAATTTTAGACACACCCTGCAACTAGAATAAAATTTGCGGGGAGATTAACTCTCCCCGCCCCGCCCTCTCGAGAATTACATTTTTCTAAAGGGATGCAGACCCTGCAACCTCTCTCATCAAAACTCAGAGAGTGCACCAGGTGATTATAATGAAACAGACTGTTAGGGACCTGCCGGCGGTAGCCTCTGGAGTTCCGCAGACCGGAATTCCCCAAGGCGCGGAGTCTAAGCCCCGACCTGCTTGTTCACCAGGGCCCCTGATGGTGGGGATGGACTTGGAGCAGGCCGGAACCGGGTCGCGGCCCCTGGGTGCTCCCAGCTGTGGTAGAAGCACTTGCCGGAGGTGTACAGCAGATGAGAGCCTGATGTGAGGAGGTAGAAAGAGCAGAGTCGGGCAGGCCGGGTCGGTAGTGGTGGAGGCAGCACGGTACAAAACAGTAGACAGAAGGATAAACTGGTCACAAGCTGGGTTTGGTAACAGAAGATCAAAACGTGTGGGATAAGACAGGAGAAATGGTTCACGCAAGCCAAGGTTCAGAGCAGGAGACAATCAGCACATCAAAGGTCAGGCAGGGTCAGCAACAAAGCAATCTAATCTTCAGGAACACAGGATACAGGTAAGACCATACGGCAATACGGCGAGCGCCGCTGCCGTCGCGGGTGCCCAGGTCCCAATGCTCGCACGCCAGTGCGGCCGGGCACACTGCGCATGCGCAAACCCGTGCGCGATCGCGGCTAGATCTGGGGTCTTTGACACAGACCCTCCAATCAGAATTGGTCTGCACAGGACACGGTGAAACAAACAGCTATTTTTTCAAGAGGAACAAAAGGTAGGAATCTGCTTCATGGTTTGTTAAAATCCCTGCAATGTATATAGATCAGCCCTAGACAGGGGCGGACTGACCATTTGGAAACTCGGGCACTGCCCAAGGGCCCGGGGTCAGTAGGGGGCCCCATGAGATGCCCCTGGTACCTTTTTCATAGGCTTTTTTGAGTTTGGGCAAGGACACAGGGGCCCCCCTTTTTTTTTTTTTTTTTTTTTCTGATGATCCCCTATTGCCTGGGGGCCCCATGAGTTGTCAGTCCGCCCCTGGCCCTAGGAGATTGGTTTTTCTCAACAAAAGTGGAGTTACATTATAACGTGAGCCGGTGTTTGCCAAAGCATGTACAGTGAGAGACTATTGTCAAGCTAGGAAAGGAAGGGGCTGATTTACTAAAGACAATTAGACTGTGCACTTTGCAAAGTGCAATTTCACTCTGCAAGTGCAGTTGCTCCAGAGATTAGTAAATGAGGTAAAGCTTCCTTTTGCCAAGAATACCCAATCACATACAAGGAAAATAAAAAAAAAAAAAAACATTATTTTTGCTTACACATGATTGGATGATAGAAGTCAGCAGAGCTTCCCCTCATTTACTAAGCTCTGGAGCAAATGCACTTGCAGAGTCTAATTGCCTTTAGTAAATCAACCCCGAAGTGTTCTATTCACAGGATCACCAGGTGAAGTAAAGGGAAAAAAGCCAGAAAAAAAGAGAACTAATGCAGCCAGCACATCTAAGGACTTGTATGCTGCAATACATTACATTTTTGTTTTTGGGTTTGGATACACTTTAACCATTTCCAGTCTGGACACTTTCACCCCCTTCCTGCCCAGGCCAATTTTCTGCTTTCAGTGCTGTCGCTCTTTGAATGACAATTGCGCGGTCATGCAATTTTTTAGATTTTTTTTTGAGTTAGATAAAACTTTGGTTAAATTTTTGGTGGTATTTATTCACCACTAGGATTTTTTTTTTTTTTTTGCTATATAAATGAAAAAGTCCAAAAATTTTGAAAAAAAAGTGTTTTTCTTATAAAATTTTGCAAATAAATAATCTTTCGTCATAAATCTTGGCCAAAATGTATTCAATATCTGTTTAGTAAAAAAAAATAACCCAAATTAGTTTATACCCAAAGATTATAATTTTTCAAAAATGTTTTTTTTTACATTTTTATTTTTTTTATATTATTATTTATGGGTTTTTTTTTTTAACATACTGTCACCCTAGCAGTACACTGTCACCATAGTAACACTGTACTACTTGTGGGGGGTGATGAAGATTTTTTTTTTTTTTACACTGATTGCTTTTACACCCATAAAGGCTGTAAAAGCAATCATTTCTCCTTCCCTCTGGCTGCATTCCTGCAGCCATTGAGAAATACTGTGAGAGCTGTGACTGGTCACAGCTTGTCACATGGTACAAGGCTGTTGTGACTAGCCCTGTACCATGTGATCTCTGTGATCATTCACAGATTTCACACGTAGTAAGCAATGATGTCAGGAAGTGACATCTTGCTTACACCTTTTCATGTGATCACTGATTGGCCAATCAGTGATCACATGATTGGGACCTTGCACAGAGCGATCGGTGTTCCACTGTGTTCGGAGGACACAGTGGGCATCGGATCACAGTGCCGCGCGCTCCCAGGGAGCGCGCACAATCCAAAATTGGTGGGCACTGTCTATGAATGGCAACCCGCCGCTGGACTGCCACCGTCTGGCCGTTTAAATACAGCAGGCCAGACAGGAAGTGGTTAACATGCCTATGCTGCTCATGTCAACATTTTGTATACATGCCAGAGCTATTTAAAGAAGAATTCCAGGTATGGATATTTTTCCATAGTTACAATGTTCCTGCTTGGTCCAGCGGTAACTAGGTATACACAATACAATGTGGGAATCCTATACTGGAAATCACTGTAGTAGTCACTACTATTAAACTACTCCAGTGATCTTGTAAGTAAATCTCAGTACATGTTGGAAGGAGAAGGCTGGCACATGCTCATACTAATGTGCATGCTCATAACTCTGAGCAAAAGCTCAATACAAAACAGGCATTGCCACACTCGCGCAAGTCTATTAGCATGTGTAGAAAACATATGCACACGTGCACCACATACGTATGAGCACTGGTGCCAAACGTCTTATTTAAGCTGCACTCTGGCATTGATGGCTTGCTGAGTGGTCTTCAGCTAGTTCTTGCTTTACCTGAACCTTGACATGCTATACCTGCTTGCCTGTGCACGACTTGGCCTGGCCTCTCCGATCTGTCCTTGCATTTCTGTCTGCCTACTGTGACCTCGGCTTGTATCCTGACTCCATTTCTGCCTGATGTTCCTGTACCTCGCTGCTTGGCTGTTGATGACCTTTTGGGTTGTGTCCTGGCTGTGCTCCCGTCTGCCAAGCAAGTGTCACCGTGTTCCAGTTCCTAGTTCCGGCCTGGTGATCTACGGTCATCTGCTTCCTGCAAACCTCAGCTGGTGCTATTTGCTACACTGGCCCTCGTGCCACTCTGTGTCCCCACACTCCCTGTCATCACTACCCAGGGGTGTTGAACAAGAGGTGCAAGAGAAGCTACCTCTCCGGCTTGATCTCCACCAGGTACGTGACAGACCTCCAATAGTTTCCGGACTCTGAGCTGAGCTGCTACCCTGCTACATTATGTACACAGGAGGTTGGCCACTAGAAATGGGTGCCATTCAGAGAATGAGTTTGCCTTTCTCAAAGCACTGGAGAGGTAGACAGCGCAACATCACCACCCCATCTCTCCAATCGGAGAACGCTTTGTACTCAATGTAAAAAATGTAAAGCTATCTCTCCAAGTGGCCAAACTCCTGTGTTTAGCAAACAGGGCAACCTCTTGGCATGAGCTACACTATATTGAAAGTATTAAGCCAGCCCTCAAAATCATTGGATTCAGGTGCTCCAATCGCCTCCATGGCCACAGGTGTATACAATCAAGCACCTAGGCATGCAGACTGCTTCTACAAACATTGGTGAAAGAATGGGTCGCTCTCAGAAGTCAGTGAATTCAAGCGTGGTCCCGTGATAGGTGGCCACCTGTGCAATAAATCCATCCCTGAGATTTCCTGGCTAATAAATATTCCACGCTCAACTGTTAGTGGGATTATAACAAAGTGGAAGCAACTGGGAGCAATAGCAACTCAGCCACCAAGTGGTAGGCCACCTAAAATGATAGAGCGGTGTCAGCGCATGCTAAAGCGCACAGTGCGCAGAAGCCGCCAACTGTCTGCAGAGTCAATAGCTAAAGACCTCCAAACTTGGTGTGGACTTCAGATTAGCACAACAACATTGTGTAGAGAGCTTCATGGAATGGGTTTCCATGGCTGAGCAGCTGCATCCAAGCCTTACATCACCAAGTGCAATGCAAAGCATCGGATACAGTGGTGTAAAGCACTCGTGAGCAGTGGAGACATGTTCTCTGGAGTGACCAATCACGCTTCTCTGTCTGGAAATCCGATGGACATGTCTGGGTTTTGCGGTTGCCAAGAGAACGGTACTTGCCTGACTGCATTGTGCCAAGTGTAAAGTTTGGTGGAGGGGAGGTTATGGTGTGGGGGTTGTTTTTCAGGGGTTGGGCTTGGCCCCTTACTTCTAGTGAAGGGAATTCTTAAGCATACCAACACATTTTCGACAATTTCATGCTCCCAGCTTTCTGGGAAGAGTTTGGGGATGGCCCCTTCCTGTTCCAACATGACTGCGCACCAGTGCACAAAGCAAGGTCCATAAAGACATGGATAAGTGAGTTTGGGGTGGAGGAACTTGACTGACCTGCACAGAGTCCTGACCTCAACCCCATAGAACACCTCTGGGATGAATTAGAGTGGAGACTGTGAGCCAGGCCTCCTCCCCCGACATCAGTGCCTGACCTGACAAATGTGCTTCTGGAAGAATGGTCAAACCTTCCCATAGACACCCTCCTAAACCTTGTGGACGGCCTTCCCAGAAGAGTTGAAGCTGTTATAGCTGCAAAGGGCGGGGCCAACTCAATATTGAACTCTACAGACTAAGACTGGGGGGGCATTAAAGTTCATGTGGGTGTAAAGGCCGGCCAACCAATACTTTTGGCAATATAGTGTAGTAGAGATCACTGCCTACTACACTGATTTCCAGCTTCCACAGGGATCCCACAGGTATGGCCCGTACATACATACATTGATCGAAGCAAAAAAATATCCATACCTGGAAATCTTCTTTATAGACATATTATTGTAGGGAAAGACTTACCCCATCCTATGATTGTGTACCAGTAGAAATATCGTCTTTCAGGGAAGAACGTCTCCACCAGCAGAGTGAAGAGGTAGAGTCCTTCAATGAAGAGCCAGAAATAGTTGGACATGACGCAATAATGGAAGAACACCATGACGGCTTTACATTCCACCTGGTGTTAGAAGAAGACGTTAGTAAGTATTCTCATTATTATTATAGGTATTTCCATATCATACATTCACATCACCCCCTGTCCTCAAGGAGATTGCAATCCACAGTCCTTATCACAAAGGCATACATACACATATTTAGCTTAGCTTTGACAATAAAATCTGGAAGCTGATTGGTTTCTATACAGAGCTCCACCAGATTGTGCACTCTCCAGTTTTGGTAAATCTCCCCCAATGTGTCTTTATAGTAACTTTCTGCTTCCCCTTTACAGTAGGACAGACAAAGGGAAGGGCAGCTTTGGGAGCCAATAAGGTTCTACTGGGTGAGATCAGAGTGAGAAGAATGAAGATCTCAGTGATATACTTCTACTCTTTTATTGTCTATTCAACAGGCTAGGTCAGTGACCAAACTGTGCTGCATAACTGTAGTGAAAGGAGTATATGGTCAATGAAATGGCCTTGCTGTCTGGCTGTGAATCTTATAGGCCAGTGGTGGTCAACTTATCAGCTAAATGAGGCCTCAAATGTGGCCCCTGACATGACTAGGGTAACCCATATGTCTCCAAGTCCCTCTGCATTTTAGATAGATACCCTTCCCAACTTATACTAATTAAGGAGTGACCAAAGACCCAATCTGGAGAAAATTGGCCAGCTTGGCCGTTAATTAACAAATAAACCAAAATAACATTCCTTAAAATAGAAAGCATATACATAAACCGAATGCCATAACATACAGGTTGCCAGTCTTGGGAGGCACTTGAGAACCAACATCAGGTTGTGTATCTGTGTTACTACTTCACGATCCTCGGCCGCAAAACACCGGCTCGAGGTTAAACCCACTTCTCTGCAGATACCAACCTGTTACCACTTCCCAGATAATACCCCATTAACTGGGATCCAACAGAGGACGCCATGCCTTAGATGGGTACCTGCTAAGAACTGTTCCGAAAAAAGTTTATTGCCTCCAAAGACCCCAACTGCCAAAGGCCCTAGAGCCCAAACAAAAATAAGCAACAGCAGGGCGGGAGGGTGGGAAGATTCCTTCACGTCCACATCTCCCAAGGATCCTGCTGCTCTTTGGGTCTCCTTCTCATGTACCACCCAGCAGTTCCACTTACTCTCCGTAAACTCTCCAATCCGGTAAGTGACTGCCTTTCTGACCAACTATAACTTAACCGTGTCCTGCCTTGTATCCCCTGTCCCCCTTTACCCAAGGGCTGTACATAATTTTCAATAAATGTAATACTTGATAGGACTGTGAGAGACTGCAGAACTAATAGAGGAAATGAGAGTCAGAGAGTGTGGACAGGATACACTGCTGGCTGGGAGGGATATGCCGCAGAAGACAATACAAAGCTGGGAACATGATACATGAGGCTAATAGAGATCAATGCTATTACTCTAATCAGAAATCTTACTGCAGACTGCCGAGATCTGAGGGCAGCACATCATATGTCAAGTGGCCGAATGCTGCCCTGTTTGGAACCAGGGTCATAGGCTGTCTGAAGACAGGTCCCTGGGCTCCTGCCTTCTGCACTGAATGGGTTGCTGCATTCTACATCAATTTATTTATTTGAAAGAGCTTGAATGAAACTCCACATTATCCATTGCTCCTGGTTAAGGTCGCAGGAAAAGTAGATGAGCAGGCCAAATATGACTTTTCTTTGCCCAACCATAGGATCCTTCTAGGGAGTTTCTGGGAAGAAGAGCTGCAGACTCCCCCCCTAAAAATAAAATTCAGCAACTATTAACACTGCAGCTAATGACTTAAATATAAGGACACTTACCTGTCCAGGGATCCAGTGATGTCTTTACCAAAGCCGATTTTTCATTCAGCTTTGGGTGCAGGCATTGGCATGTTAGGTAAGGGTCCTACTGCGCATGTGCAAGTCATACTGTGCTTTTTGAATGGTCCTGCAGTCTTCTGGGACCTGTGATGTATCCTTCCTGCTCTGACCAGAAATGGGAGCTGGTACCTGTCAAAACCAGGTACCCCCTTCCCCCTCCCCCCCAAAAAAGTGCCAAATGTGGCAGTGGAGGGGGGAGTATGTAAACAAGCAGAACTTCTCCAGGGCCATTCACAAAGAGCAGCATGACTCGCGCATGTGTTGGTGGAAACCGGCTGTGAAGCGGCAAGGCTTCACTGTCGGTTAACTTACTTAAGATGCAGGTGCCTACACTTGCTGCCGATTGACATTTTGGAAATAAAGTGCCTTCAGATTACTCTGAGTCAACCATCAAGTCTTTCCTGGATCAGTCTGCTTCCAGATGGAGCTTCTTGGAATAGACTACTTCTGTATAAGATGTTCATTTAACAGGGTACAAGGAGAATTCAGTTCACTATATTTGGCTTTGGAAGAACAAGCTCATTCTAAAGTCTTCTAAAGTCTTTTGAAGGCCAATCACTTACTGGTGGCAGTGTCTAGGAGGAGATTATGGCAGTGATCCCCAAGAAGGGAATTGTAGACCAAAAGAAAGATATTAGAAGTGTAGTGGAAAGCATTCAATAATAATAAATTTTCTCCTGTGGCAAGACCTACTACCAGTAACTATGTAAATCTCATTTTATAGAAAAAGGTCCACAAAGGCTCAAGTCCTGCCTGTGGTGTATGAGAGTGCTAGGCTCTCCTCTGGACAATTTGCAAGATCTGATGTTGCCTACGAAGTGATGAAAGAACATCACTAAGATGAACAGGTACATACATTTCAGCCTGCTAAAGAGGCATCTGAGACAGTCCAGGGTGACTTGATGGGAAGAGAGGAGCATGAATTAGAGATGAGGGTCTGGTCTACAAGTATCAGTCTGGCATCTAGGAACCATATACACTTTATGGCCAAAAGACTGTGAACATCTGACCACCACACCTAAATTTTATGTCCAAAATACACTCACCGGCCACACCTTGCTAATGCCAAGAAAATATCCCCCCACACCATTACACCACCACCAGCTTGAACCGTTGATACAAGGGAGGATGGATCCATGCGTTCATGCTGTTTACGGCAAATTCTGAACCTACCATTTAAATGTCACAGCTGAAATTGAGACTCATTAGGCCAGGCAATGTTTTTCCAAACTTCTATTGTCCAATTTTGGTGAGCTTGTGCGAATTGTAGCCTCCAATTCCTATTCTTAGCTGACAGGAGTGGCACCCGGTATGGTTCTCTGCTGCTGTAGTCCATCCGCTTCAAGGTTCGACATGCTGTGCATTCAGAGATGGTATTCTGCAAACCTTGGTTGTAACGAGTGGTTTTTGTGTTACTGTTGCCTTTCTATCATCTCGAACTAGTCTGCCCATTCCTCCTCTGACATCAACAAGGCATTTTTGTCCACACAACTGCTGCTCACTGGATACTCTTTGTTTTTCTGACCATTCTCTGTAAACCCTAGAGATGGTTGTGCATGAAAATCCCAGTAGATTAGCAGTTTTTGAAATACCCAGACCAGCATGTGTGGCACCAACAACCATGCCACATTCAAAGTCACGTAAATCCCCTTTCTTACCCATTCTGATGCTCGGTTTGAACTCCAGCAAGTCGTCTTCACAACGTCTAGATGCCTAAATGCATTGAGTTGGTGCCATGTGATTGGCTAAATAGCAATTTGTGTGACCAAGCAAATGAACAGGTGCACCGAATTAAGTGTCCGGTGAGTGTATGTGGACACCATAAAAAATTGAGTTCAGATGTTTCCAGTGAAGGGCACTGTTAATGATATAACATATGAAGACATTATAGACAATTGCACTCTTCCAACCTTGTGGGAACAGATTGGCGAAGACTCTCTTCTGTTGCAGAATGACTGCGCCCCTGTTTATGAAGAGAGCTCCAGAAAGACATGGTTTTACCAATTTGGTGTGAAGGAACTCATGTGTCCTGCACAGAGCCCTGACCTCAACCCTACTGAACATCTTTGGGATAAATTGGAAGCCCGGTCTTTTTTGTCCAACATTAGCACCTGACCTCAACAAAACTTTTGTTGCTGAATGGGCACACATTCCCACAATCACACTCTGGAAAGCCTTCCCAGAAGAATGGAGGCTGGTATAGCCACAAAGGGGGTACAACTTCATATTATTAGTCATGGTTTTGTAATGGGATGTCCAATACGCTTATATAGATATAATGGTCAGGTGTCCACAACATCTGGAGAAACAGTAGAACATCTGTGAGATTGTTATTGTTGTTTGTGTTTCTATTGAGGACACGTGCTTTATATATACTTTACATTCGTTGTTAATTTGACCTAAACCATAACTCAGACCAGGGGATTCACCAAGGTAACTGAATGTCCAAGTACTCAAGTCTTGGGCCAACCCAAGTGGGAGTTATGTAGTTTTATCATATCTGCACATGTATCATTCTGTTCCCTATCGCTACTTACAGTGGAAACGTGGCAGTGGTTGCTGTCTTGTTCAGCGTAGAGGACTTCGTCTTTGATGAAGACCGATATGGCTCGGAGGATGAATGACACAAAAAGATTCATGTGGATGAAGTTGCGCGTACAGTGAAGCTTCCTGGAACACACACATAAAGTTTATTAAGTAATGCATTAAAAAAAAAAAAATAGCCGGAGCTGTGACCTGACCGGAGAGCCCTCAGAATAGGTAAGTATAGACATCTTTCCTTTTACAGGGCACATAGAATAGTCTAAGAATGGGGTTGGTGGCAGGTTTGGGATTAGTTAGGTGTTGAGTGGAATTCCACTTTAAGGCACCCACAGACTTCTACTGGCAGCCAGTTGAAAATGTGTAACACAAGCAACCATCATGTGGTGGTTTCTATGGATGTGATTATTGGGTTCTATCACGTTTTACTTCTGATATATCCCATATGGAAGGAAAATATATTTGAAATATATTTTTTAAATATATTCTTCCTAAATATATTGCCATGTATTTGAAATGCTACAATTTTGGCCATATTCAATACATTTCAAAATATATTTCAATAAATATATGTATATATATATACTGCATGTTGAAATGTGTTTTTATTACAAAATATATGAAAAATATTTTTAAAAATACATTTCAAATATATTGTATGTCTTTAAAAATCCAAATCTACATTTTTGGAATGCGTTTACAAATATATGTAAAAATATATGTTAAAATTACTTTTTTATATGTGAAAATAAATATATGTTTAAAAATATATTTTTTTTAAATATATTCTTCAGATTTTTTTTTACATATAAAAAGTAATTTTAACATATATTTTTACATATATATGTAAATGCATTCTAAAAATGTAGATTTGGATTTTTAAAGACATACAGTATATTTCAATATACTATATATTGAATATGGCCAAAATTGTAGCATTTAAAAAAATGGCAATATATTTGGGAAAAATATTTTTTAAATATACTTCAAATATATTTTTCTTCCATATGGGATGGAAGTGATAGCAAATAAGTGGAGCTTGCAGACGCTTATCTAAAAGGGAATAATGTGCAACAAATCCATTGGTGAATGCATACTAAAATACTAGTTTTTTACAATGTATTTGCTTTTCTCATATTTTTTTTTCGTCTAAATCATTTTCTGGACTTTCGCCATTTTGATTTCAGAGTGTTTTTTTTTTTTTTTTTTTTTAATTAAACATAGAAAGGTTTTTCCGCCATGATATTTTCTCTATGGTCAATAAACCGTGCCACCACAATTCAGCCATCCAACCTCTTGACTCAGATGTGAACCAACACTGGGCAGCTGTTGAAAGGCACCCGGGACACGTACCTGAAGCGGCACAGTATAACCATGGCGGTGGTGAGTGCCACAAGGGAAGTGCTGTATCCAACTGTGTACAGGGCTTTCACCGACAGGAAGTAGGTGTCCTGGAAAAGAGAGGGAAGGGTTTTATCTTTACACATAGCAGATGGAAATTTGGCCCAAAGCAACACAGTATCGTGAAGATAGATATTTTCTGATCCTGAAGGTCTTCCTGCACTATGAAGAGAAATGGCATGTCGAAATTCACCTAACCTGGCTCTATAAATTATTCACAATATGTAAGGGGGCTGGCGATTGGCTGTATATTGGTGCCAAGAGCACAAGTCCCTGCCCCGCTTCTTCCTACCAGAACAACAACCTTCCTGCTTGAGATCTCAACCCTCCGCCATCTTGTTCCCATCTCCATGACAGAGGCCCTCTCCTGACATTCTTGGCCATTAACCTTTGTATCCCAAGGAAGGAATGTCCACACAGAAAGACAGTTTTGATGCTCTTTACTAAAGTTACTTTTAGATGACATTTACACTCACCAGCCACTTTATTAGGTACACCTGTTCAATTGCTTGGTGACCCAAATTGCTAATCAGCCAATCATATGGCACCAACTCAATGCATTTAGGCATCTAGACATAGTGAAGACGACTTTCTGAAGTTTAAACTGAGCATCAGAATGGGGAAGAAAGGGGATTTAACCACTTCCAGTCCGGACACTTTTACCCCCTTCTTGTCCAGGCCAATTTTTAGCTTTCAACGCTATCACACTTTGAATGATAATTGCGCGGTCATGCAACACTGTACCCATATGAATTTTTTTGCATTTTTTTGAGACAGATAAAGCTTTATTTTGGTGGTATTTATTCACCACTGGGATTTTTATTTTTTTTGCTATGTAAATGAAAAAATCTAAAAATTTTGAAAAAAAGGGTTTTTCCTATACAATTTTGCAAATAAATAATATTTCATCATAAATTGTGGCCAAAATTTATTTTGTTATCTTTTTAGTAATAAAAAAATATAACCCAAATTAGTTTATAACCAAAAATTATAATTTTTAAAGTTTTTTTTTACATTTTTTGTTTTTTATATTATTATTTATGTTTTTTTGTTTTATTTTTTACATATTGTCACCCTAGCAGTACAGTGTCACCATGGTGACACTGTACTACTTGTGGGGGGTGATGAAGATTTTTTTTTTTTTTTTACACTGATTGTTTTTACACCCATAAAGGCTGTAAAAGCAATCATTTCTCCTTCTCTCTGGCTGCATTCTTGCAGCCACTGAGAACTACTGTGTGAGCTGTGATTGGTCACAGCTTGTCACACGGTACAAGGCTGTTGTGAATAGCTTTGTACCATGTGACCTCTGTGATCATTCACAGATTTCACACGTAGTAAGCAATGATGTCAGAAGTGACATCTTGCTTACTACTTTGCATGTGATCACTGATTGGCCAATCAGTGATCATATGATCGGGACCTCGCACAGAGGTCCCGTCCAACAATCGGTGTTCCACCGATCCACTGTGATACTGTGTCGAGAGCGCACAAGCAGGGAGCACGCACAAGGAGGGTGCAGAGAGGCCGTGTATAAACGGCCAACCGACCCTGCACTGCCACTGTCCGGCCATTTATATACAACGGCAGGACGGGAAGTGGTTAAGTAACTGTGAACATGACATCATTGTTGATACCAGATGGGCTGGTCTGAGTATTTAAAAAAAACTATTGGTCTACTGGGATTTTCACACGCAACCATCTCTAGGGTTTACAGAGAATGGTCCGATAAAGAGAAAATATCCAGAGAGCGGCATTTGTGTGGAGGAAAATGACTTGTTGATGTAAGAGGTCAGAGAGAGAATGGGCAGACTGCTTTGAGATAATACAAAGGCAACAGTAACTCCTGTCAATATGGATAAAAATCTCTGAGGAACGTTTCCAACACCTTGTTGAATCTACGCCACGAAGAATGAAGGCAATTCTGAAGGCAAAAGGTGGCCCAACCCGGGACTAGCAAGGTGTACCTAATAAAGTACCTAATAAGTAAGTGTATAGTCGCATCACATAGACATACTATCTGGGGTGAATTGACAGCATTTTGTCAATACACTAAAGTGGATGATTTGCAGCAGTCAAATGTGAAAGCAGCAAACTGTATATTTCCAGTACGCCATCTTCCTTTACTCAGTCTCTTTCCTTCCCAGGGTTACTAGTACTCAATCAGTGGGTTCTGGTTTGCCTTAGGCATTCTATGTCCAGCTCACAACTCTGAGGCAGGATCCCTATAGTTCACCTCTGGCTTGTGTACAATTCTTCCAGGTCTCCAGGGGGAGAACCTCACTCCAGGGAACACTTGGCCTGGCTTGAAAGGCCTTTTACAAACTGCTCTAGCCGCCTCCACCATAAGAGTCAGGGTGTCTACAGCCGGCTCTACGGTATGCAGGTTTACCTCTCCCTGTCCTCCAGCCCTGTCCATGGCCTGCACTTAGTGGACTACATCCGCATGCCGGTAGGGATTTCTGGCTCGCATGCAACGACTGCAGTAGGGCTCTACCCAATCTGGTTTATATGTGGGCACTGACACACCCAGGGGCGGACTGACCATTTGGAAACTCTGGCACTGCCCGAGGGCCTGGGGTCAGTAGGAGGCCCCATGAGATGCCCCTGGAACCTTTTTCACAGGCTTTTTTGAGTTTGGGCAAGGACAAAGGGGCCCCATGATCCTCTATTGCCCGGGGGCCCCATGAGTTTCAGTCAGCCCCTGGACACACCCATTACATTATCACAGGAGGGCTCTAGCGTAAAGGGACCTAGCACCTGATGACACTATCCTCTGTAACCAGACACTATTCTGGAATAGAGCCACCTAGTGGCAGGCAAGATAACTGCACCTGCTTACAAGTACAAACTAGCTAACTGCACCTGCTTACAAGTAAAGTTTTAAAAAAGCAAAAGACCATTTTTGCATGCCCAAATGCTTTTATTCTTTGTGACTCCATTCCTTATTATCCTTACGCCACAAAATTAAAGTGTAACTAAACCCAATAACAAACATGTATTATATATTCTAGCTTACAAATCGTTGGATGCAGTGAGTGCTTTCAATTTCTTCTTTTTTTTTTAGTCTTTTATACTTTTATTTTTATATGGTGATTGGCCAGTAACGCACCTATTTTAGGATGGCTACAATCACTCCTTCGCTGTATCTACGGAGGAGCAACATAGCTACCCTTGGACAGAAGGATTTTCAGTCTGGGGGGAGGGGAGTGTTAGATGGACTAGCAGATTTAAATAGACTTGACTAACAAAAAAGCTGAACTTCAGACAACACTTTATAAGCAGTATTTTTTTTGCTTTTAGGATAAAGGTTTTACATAGATACAGCTGATAATACCACCTAAGCATTTTAGGCTGCAAAATCAGCAATCTCACAACAAAGTAAATTTTTTCCAAAATCACTCTTTTTTGCTATTGTCCCGACTATTGTTTTTTCCCAAATAATTTTTATTTAAAAGTATTTTTGTCATTTTTAACAATATATTCAAGGCACTATAATACATAGCAAGGTACATAATTTAAAGTAGAACTAAAAGCATTTTTTTTTTTCATTCAGGATCAGGGGCAGACTGACAACTCATGGGGCCCCCGGGCAATAGGGGATCATGGGGCCCCTGTGTCCTTGCCCAAACTCAAAAAAGCCTATGAAAAAGGTACCAGGGGCATCTCATGGGGCCCCCTACTGACCCCGGGCCCTCGGGCGGTGCCCAAGTTTCCAAATGGTCAGTCCGCCCCTGTTCTGGATAGAACAAGGGATGTGCAATGCCTTTGAAATGTGTTGACCTTGGAAACTTGGTTTCTTGGGTAATTTTTACAATAAAGCATTGTTGCCCAAATGCCAGGGCATGAGAGGTGACTGGTGTTATCTCTCTAAGCCAAAGGAACAGAGTCAGAAGACATTCTGCTTAGAGCAAGATAAAACCGTGTTTATGGAAACTGAACGTGTTTGTGACATCTAGTATGTCATATTAGAAGATAAAAGCCTGTTTAAAAATGTCTACTTGCTTGTGAAGTTAGAAATCCTTATGTTTGGGGTAGATAAGAAGAAGTTTGGGGTAGATGAGAAGAAGTTTAGGGTAGATAAGAAGCTGAACTGGAGCAAAAGTGTGACTTTTCAGATAAAGATGTGGGATCAATATGCGTGACTCTGTTGTCCTTGTGGAACCCTTCTGCTAGCTCCTTCTGTGGTGGGTGTGGCGCCCGCCCACTACTGGACAGCTGCCAGGAAAATGGTTTAAAATCGGAGGTCCGGGTGAGATCGATTATGGAAGGCCCCCCTGGTTGCCAGAGGACGCTCTGATGCTGGGACTTTTGCCAAGGCTATATGGGCTCATCAATCGGTCGTGCTTACGGCTTCCCCATGACCCCCTGGGCAGTATGGTTCTGATAGGATTTGTTCCTTTCCTCTTCCACATAGCTGTGGTAATGTATTAATTCTGTGCTCTGACACTGTCAAATGATGTGTCTATGTCATGCTGTAATTCTCACATTATTATTGGTGTGTGTTATTATGCAGATTGTGATGACCATATGATATATCCTCCTGTGTGTCGTGTGATAATAAAGGTGGAGGTTTTGACAGTGCAAGAATATTGCAATTGGATTCTGTTATTTCTTGGAGTGCTGGGTGAATGCTATGATGTGCCAGGGCAGGTATTCATTGGGTAGATGGTCTTTCACATGTGTAGAATATGTAATGGTTTAAATGCTGATTAAAAGTACCTGTGTGTATGACTACCTGTTGATTGTGTGTGTATATATGACTTGCTTTTAGTTATTGCACCCAGCATTGCCGTTACAGGAGGGTTATAACCCCAGTCAGATTTTTATTTATTTATTTTTTTGCTTTCTGTGTCCCATTAGGAACATTTCCCTTCACTTCCCGTCCCATTGCCAAAACAAGAAATGAGAGGAAATCCCTTCAAAAGTCCCCGGCTGTCATCAGAACTAGTGCCCCCATTGGAAGAATCCCCCTCTATTCCTGCTCTGGTGTCAACCCAAAATTTGGAATTTTCTTTCACTTTCAATAATAATAGTAAACAGGAGAAATAGAGAGGGTGGATCTCCCTAATGGGGGCACAGACAGCAATAAAAACTGACAGGAGCTATAATCCCCCGCCTCTCTTTCCAAAACTAAAAAAAAAAGTTTTGCCTTTAGTTACACTTTAATCAGTTTGAAAACATATCATGAAATTTAGTTCAGTTTGCACAAATATTTCTGACATTTGTGTGACAAATGTTTTATAAATCGACTCCTAAATGTGTTCTTGCTGAAAAAATACACTCGGGGTTTAACTATATTAATATTTTCTAATATATTATTGTTTTGTGTGACTGACAGCCCCAGCTAGTGGCAATATTGTCCTGAAATGCCTCAATCAGGACAATACCGCATTACAGACACTAGATGGAGGTGACGGTCAGAAGAAATAAACATATTTGATACATTACTGGGATTATTCTTGATGGTTGCCACCAGAACTAGTGTCCTCCTTCAAAGATTTCTGGTTTATTACCATTCTGGGGGAGAACCCAAAATTTGGGATAATTTTTTGCATGCACTTTCAATTTTAGCTCTACCCCCTTAGAAGTCGCTGAGTTTTGGGTCCCACTACGGTCGTGCAGAGCCAGGCAACACGTCTTTTCTTTCAGCTTGCACACTTGAGATAGTAAACAATCCTTGTTTAAGTTTTATTATGGGGTTTTAAACTTGGATGGGGTTGAGGGGTATATGGGATGCCCAAAGGAACTGCAATTGAGGACAAACTCCTTAGCAACTATGCACTAGTCCAAGCACAGAAAATTCTCTTCTTGGAGAGCTCTCCAGCCTCTCCTGGTGTATCACCCCAGACAGGGCTGCTGTCAGAAACCACGGGGCCCCATACAGTCAATGTGACAGGGCCCGCAAATAAACACAGTTTACTATGCTTCACTTATGAATAAACAGAGTGAGCGATCGGTACTAATCACTCGTTGTGTTCATTCAGGAAAAGATGGGTTGGTAAATGTGACATATTTACGGACCCTCCCCCCATTATTCATCACAAAGATCCTATAGTGTGTTTGCAGCTGGGAAGAAGAGGAGAAAAGCCAGCAGCATTACGGGGGTGGGGGGGGCACATGGAGGGGGGCTTGGGTAGCATGGGGAAATGTATGGTGCACCGGGAGGTGCTGCAGAGAGAGCCATACAAGGGATCAGTTCCAGCAATTACCCCCCCCCTTCCTCCCGCTGTGCCGATCATTCTCCCTACCCACATCTGATTCACCCAGCTGCCTGGGCCCCCCTGCTGGTCTGGGCCCTGTACAGGAGGACCAGTGGTACCCCCTTATTCAGGGCCCTGAACCCAGAATCCCTTTCTTCACCCTTCTGCCTGAGGGAATCCCTGGGCAAGGAGACCCAGAATCTGTCTCCTTAGATCAAACAGTCCCAGATGGGGGCTAGTCAGGTTTCTCACCAGAATGCCCCCTCCCGTTATCCAGCCCAGGGGGTGTGGGATTACTTACTCAGTCCTCTCCTGTGAGCTTGTTGGGTTGTTGGCTGCCTTCAGGCCTTCTACTGGGCTGGCTCCTTCCCTGGCTCCACAGGCGATCTGCTCTCTGGTGACCAGTGAAGCTACGTGATCCTCCTTTCCAGGTCCCAGCCTGTAGGTAGGCCACTTCTCACTGGGCCTCCTCCCAGGCTCCTGCATCTCAGCCTCTCCTACATCTTCCACCCAAACTCTTCTGCTGCTGAGGAGGCTCTCTCACACTTAAAGGCTGCCCTGGCCCCTTGCCAAGCCTCCTGCTTGGGGATTGGCCAATGTCCCTTAAGTGTGCAAGTTAGCCCTTCCTCACCCCCATCCACTGAGTTCTAGAGACAGAGGGTGGCATCAAGGAACTGACCTGCAGAGCCCTCAGCCCTCTAATAACCTGGCTGACTCATGCCCAGGCTGCTACTCAGCCTTTCTATCTAAAAAAAAAAACTAGTTAGCTCCCCCTAGCTAACTAGAGACAATGATAACGGTAGACAGGACAAATAGAAAGGATGTATCTCACTAATGGAGGCACAGACAGAAATATAAACCTGGCTTTAGGTATACTGTAAGTGATACATGAACAGCAAGGTAAGTGCATTTGTTTCGCCATCCCAGAGGTAACATTTCAAGTGGTTGTAAACCCTTACATATACCCAGCCCAGGGAAGTGGCAAACCTCAGATGATACACATAGATGAAACACATCCTCCTATCTGCTATCCTCTCTACATCCATCAAGTGCAGAATTTATAAAGCTTGTCTGAGAGTTCCAAAAAAAGGGGTCAGGGATCTGAAGTTACACACTGCAGAGCTCAGTGAGGTGAGCTCTAAGAGCTGATTGGATGACAGGGGCACACCCTCCTTCACACAGCACATGAGAACAGAGCTGAGTCTGTCAGTCACAGGTTGTGTGTTGAAGTTCCCTCCCCTGTCATCATTTTTCTCTTGTTGTCAGGAAAATGTAAGCGATTCATGAAGATAGCAGAGAAAGGAAGAAGCAGACAGAAATTGCACTTAATGCTCTGGATAGAGAGAAGTACACATTATAGAGGGATCTGCTTTGTTCCTACTTCATGTCTGAGGTTTACAACCACTTTAAGCAATCATAGGAAGACTTTGTGCTGGTAAGGGTAACATATTTGCTCCATAGAGTATGTCTATCCTGGATGGGGGGAGGGTAGGATACAGCAGTCTCCCACCTGTCCTTCCTAAATGTAACCCCTCCCCCACCTCCCCCACCAGGCAAACAAGGCACTTGCCTAGGGCAGCAGTTTTCAGGGGGGCAGCACCTCCCCCCAGAAGAAGTGATGAAAGAAGGGGCATGAATGCCATGGGAACCAGGTGGCATCCAAGTGAGGCTGTTGCTGCTTGGTGGTGTTGGTCGGTGTCCGTGGGGGCAGATGATTTTTGTGTTGCCTAGAGCAGCACAAAGCCTAAATACTCTAATGCCCCCACCCCCACCCTGCCCCCTGTGAGCAGACTATATGACAGAGGAAAGATCAGCTGAATTTTTGAGGACTCTCTTCTGATGGTTACCTGGTCGGGTCCGGTCTCATTAACATCAAAGCCGCACGCATCAGAGTAATGAGGGAAGGGATCTGACCAGCCGTTCTCTGTACAGTTTCTGCTGATAATTCCTTCTGTGAACATAAAAAAAAAACAAGCATTTTGCAAAACTGAAAAACTGAAAACTGGTTAATATAGATTATATTTGAAATTTTGTCTGTTACATCATTTAAAATTTGCACAGTTACAATGGGAGTGCAAGGGGCTGGCCTGCTTTGTATATAAACTGACTGTAAAAGTAAATCCTTACACAACATGTAGGGATCTATTTATAAAACAATTGTTGGCAGAATGTTTCCAAAATTTCCCAGTATTTTCTCTAATAGATTAATTCCGATATCATTAGCTCCATCTAGCGGCCAAGATGCGGTATAGCCTTCTGAAATACCTCAATGAGAAAATATAATGCATTTTGGCAACTGGATGGACCTGTTGATATAGGAACTAATTTATGATAAAATTTTGGGTACATTTCGGCCAGCTTGAATCAGTGCTTTTGACATTTTGTCCATGAATGTTTTATAAGAAGACCGAATATTACCAGGGCTGGATTTAACACTAAGCCATCTAGACTGTAGTACAATATTCTTTCTTTACAGATGTGTTTCTGGCTGCATCAGTTATTTCTAATAAAACAGGGGCGGACTGACAACTCATGGGGCCCCTGGGCAATAGGGGATCATGGGGCCCCTGTGTCCTTGCCCAAACTCAAAAAAGCCTATGAAAAAGGTACCAGGGGCATCTCATGGGGCCCCCTACTGACCCTGGGCCCTCGGGCAGTGCCCGAGTTTCCAAATGGTCAGTCCGCCCCGCTTAAAAATTAACCGCTTTCCAGCCGTCCTATAGCAGATGTACTGCTACAGGGTGGCAGGGCTGCGCAAAATCACGCGCTGCCATTGGCGACTACAGCTGTCAATCACCGGGTCCCGGACAGAGATTCCCCGCCGGCACCCTGCGATCACCAAGGAATACTGATAGAGGAGAGGTCTGTATTTTCATAATACAGATCTCTCCCCTGTCAGCACCAGCTTGCTGCTTTGTATGGCTCTGCATAGCAGACCAATACAAAGCAGAATGCTTACATAGTAAAACACACACAGCACACAGTTAACCCTTTGATCACCCCAGATGTTAACCCCTTCCTGCCCAGTGTCATTAATACAGTGATCAGTGGCACTGATCACTGTATTAGTGTCACTGGGGATGTCAGTGGCAGTTAATCAGCCCCCCCCCCAGTGTCAGAATGCCCGCCGCTGTCCCCGCTGTAAGTCGCTGATCACCGCCATTACTAGAATTAAAAAAAAAAATGTAATTCCAGTATATATGCCGCCATTTGTAGATGCTATAACTTTCACGTAAACCAATTAATATACACGTATTGGGATTTTTTGTAGCAAAAACATGCAGAATACATTTTGGCCTAAATTTATGACGAACTTTGATTTTTAACATTTTTATACTGGACATGTTTAATAGCAAAACGTTTTTTTTTTTCAAAATTGTCGGTCTTTTTTGTTTATAGAGGAAAAAATAAAAAACTCAGAGGTGATCAAATACCACCAAAAGAAAGCGCTATTTGTGGAAAAAAAAGATGTAAATTTAATTTGGGTGCAGTGTTGCATGACCGCTCAATTGTCAGTTAAAGTAACACAATGCCGTATCGCAAAAAATGGCCTGGTCAGGAAGGGGGGGAATCCTCTGGAGGGCAAGTGGTTAATGTTTATATAGAACAATACATGTGTGCTGATTTATTTGGGGGGAAGGGGGAGGGGAACCAAGGTTATAGCAGTTGTTGGGGAGGTGAGGGCTGACCTCGCAAGGTAGCAGACCTAAGGGACACAAAAGTATAAATCCAGCCATGGATATAACACATAGTTCTGGTAACTGTGAAGGAGATTGTATCATTCGATTGTAAAGTGCATGGTCATTAGGTCATCATACGGCAGAGATGGTAATGCAACAATGAGTACGAAAACTTGTATTGCCCATCCCGAAATAATCTTTCCTTACCAGACTGAAGTTCTTCCAAGTTGTCAAGGGATTCTAAGAACAAAAGAGAACATTTTAAGACATCAAAGAAGAACACAGAGGGAAATGTATACATATATAGGTATACTTATATTTTATATATCAGTAAACGATTTGGTCCACCTAAAATGTTTCAGTTCTTCCTTCATGAAAAAGGTTTCTTGTAGACTTTGTGGGCATACAGTTTGGAGGGTTTTTTTTGGGTCTGGACACCTGTTGTGGCCATTATGAGGAATCCTACGATTTCCTTTGTGATATTTTGGGGTTTTGCTTCCCAGTGAGTTCAAGCCACCCAGGACATAGAATTTTAGGGCTTGTGGACCACTTTTATGTAAAAATTTCAACATGCATCAGTTGGTTACACCCCCTCTCAGGGGTGTTCAGCCATCGTCATTCAATGCTATACAAGAACTCATGCGCTCTCTAATGCCTCCTGGCTCACTCTGGCCTCAAGCTTTGGTCCTTGCCTGTTCTTTAAGACCAGCTCAAGAGACCACTGTACTTACATGCATACTCTGTAAACCTCATGCAGCTCCTCGCTCCATGGACCCACACCCATGGGCAAGAAACCTCCTGTCTCCTGGGTGGAGTCCCAAATCAATTTCAGACCATTTATTATGAAGGCAGTGCACACCTTGACATACAGCCTACTGATCCTCAGTAAAACCTGGATTCAGGGTTAGAGGCTTCATCCCTCCCAAGACTCTTCAAAGCCTCTGGACTCCAGAATCCAAACTGGGAGCTACCAATCCAGGAGAAAGCTGAAAAGCTAATTTTCTCTCATCAAAACCAACATTCTGGAGCTCCTAAATCTGCATCCATGAGAACCCTGTGTGATGCTTAATCCTACTAACACCATGGCAGGGCCAAGCACTGTCACACCTAATAAATTCTTCATCTCTTTTGCAACATAGAAGAACCTGGATCTAGGGTTAGGGGCTTCAATCCTTCCCAACACTATCCTAAGCCTCTAGACTCCAGAACCCAATCTGGGAGTTACAAATCACAAAGAAAACTGAAAAGCCAACTCTGCACAAACCCAACATTCTGGAGCCCCTCAACCTGCATCCATCAGAATTCTGTGTGATGTTTAATCCTACTAACACCATGGCAGGGCCTAGCACAGTCACACCTAATAAATTCTTGTTTCTATTGTAACATAGAAAAGCCTGGATGCAGGGTTAGAGGCTTCATCCCTCCCAAGACTTTTCAAAGCCTCTGGACTCCAGAACACAATTCAGGAGTTACAAATTCCAGAGAAAACTGAAAAGCCAATTTTCTCTGCTCAAAACTGACTTTCTGGAGCCCCTCATTCTGCATCCATGAGAGCCCTGTGTGAGGTTTAAGTCTACTAACACAATGCCAAGGCTTAGCACTGTCACACCTAGTAGATTCTTTGACTCTTTTGTAACATAGAAAGACCTGGACCCAGGGTTAGAGGCTTCATCCTTCCCAAGACTATGCAAAGCTTCTGGACTCCGGAACCCAATCCAGGAGTTACTAACCCTGGAGAAAACAAGAAAGCCAATTTGCTCTGCTGAAAACCAACATTCTGAAGCCTCTCAATCTGCATTAATGAGAACCCTGTGTGATGTATAACCCTACTAACACAGTGTCAGCGCCAAGCACTGTCACACCTATAAAGATAAATTCTTCATCTCTTTTGCAACATAGAAGAACCTGGATCCAGGGTTAGGGGCTTCAATCCTTCCCAACACTATCCTAAGCCTCTAGACTCCAGAACCCAATCTGGGAGTTACAAATCACAAAGAAAACTGAAAAGCCAACTCTGCACAAAACCAACATTCTGTAGCCCCTCAACCTGCATCCATCAGAATTCTGTGTGATGCTTAATCCTTCTAACACAGTGGCAGGGCCTAGCACTGCCACACCTAATAAATTATTTGTCTCTGTTGTAACATAAAAAAACTTAAGGCCACTAACAGGGTTAGTGGCCTTAATCCTCCCAAGACTCTTCCAAGGCTCTGTACTCCAGAACTCAATCCAGTAGTTACAAATCTTGGAGAAAACTGTAAAGCCAACTTTCTCAAAACTGACATTCTGGAGCCCCTCAATCTGCATCCATGAAAACCCTGTGTGATGCATAATCCTTCTAACACAGTGGCAAAGCCTAGCACTGTCACACCTAATAAATCCTTCATCTCTTCTGAGGTGGGGAGAACCAAACCGGGAGATTGAACAGGCAGATTTCACCTCACCAGACATACAGTTGTGTTCAAAATAATAGCAGTGTGTTGAAAAAAGTGAATAAAGCTCAAAATCCTTCTAATAGCTTTTATTTCCATCCACACAAATGCATTGGGAACACGACACATTCTATTCCAAATCAAAACATGAAGAAAAATAGATCAAATTTGTGTTGTTCCTCTAAACAAATTGAAGAAAAGTGAATATTAGACGGTTCAAAAAAATCGCAGTGATTGTATTCTTCTTTACAAACTCAAACATTCACTATATAAACTGAGAAATGTTTGAAGATTTTGCTTTCCTTTGAATGACTTCATGAATATTTGGTTGTAGTCGCACTGTTTCTGAGAACTGCTGTACATCTGTGTTGCATGGAGTCACCCAACTTCTGGCCCCTGTGATCAGGTATTCCAGCCCAGGATGATTGGACCACATTCCACAGTTCTTCTCTATTTCTTGGTTTTGCCTCAGAAACTGCATTTTTGATGTCACCCCACAAGTTTTCTATTGGATTAAGATCCGGGGATTGGGCCGGCCACTCCATAACGTCCATCTTGTTGGTCTGGAACCAAGATGTTGCACGTTTACTGGTGTGTTTGGGGTCGTTGTCTTGTTGGAACACCCATTTCAAGGGCATTTCCTCTTCAGCAAAAGGCAGCATGACCTCTTCAAGTATTCTGATGGATTCAAACTGATCCATGATCCCTGGTATGCGATAAATAGGCCCAACACCGTAGTATGAGAAACATCCCCATATCATGATGCTTGCACCACCATGCTTCACGTCTTCACAGTGTACTGTGGCTTGAATTCAGTGTTTGGGGGTCGTCTGACAAACTGTCTCCAGC